ACCACTGACATTCACTGATCATCATAGTCCACTGTACCGCGGGTAGCGCGGGAGCCAACTTCAGCGGGGGAGCGACGTGATGGTGCGACCTAGAGTTCCTGTATAGGCTCCCTACGGTAGGTAGCTATACAGGAACTCTAGTGCGACCTAGAGTTCCTGTATAGGCTCCCTGCGGGAGCCAGAGTTGCGCATTTCTTTTCCCCGCGCCGCCACGCCGCTATTCGCCGAGATCCATCACGTGAGGAGCAAAGCATCCGTTGGCGTGCAAGAAAGCCACCTTTACGGTCGCTCCGTCTACGTTTCTCTTGCCCCGGCGTATGTTCCCCTGCTTTCCGCCTCCTTTTCCTCCTCTCCTGTTTTCCATGCGCGCGCGGCGCCGCTATTCGCCAAATTTAGTCACGTGAGGAGCAAAGCATCCAGCTCGTGCGGGAAAGCCGGCGCTACGGCCACGCGCCGAGGCTGAATGCGCAACTCTGCTACCGTAGGTAGCTATACAGGAACTCTAGTGCGACCGCACGGGCAGTGCCATCTAGGAGAAGACCGAAAAGACCGATTATCGTCTTGCGACCGTGATGTAAAGCAAAGGCGCAAGCACACTGTGGGCGCAAGGGGGCAAGTAAACTGTGCGGGCAAGAGTGCTGTGTAGGTTGGAAACATTGGCACCGCCTAAACTAAACAGCTTTATTTTTCGACCGGGCGTTGCACTCACGTGCTTGCTGCCATAAGGAAACGTAAAGTTCTTTCTTTGGATGAGAAAGCAAACGTTTTGGACGCCATCCTGAAGAAACTGCCGAGATCACGAGCACTCGGGAAGTGCTCGACGCAATGGACGTACTGAGGAGGTACACGGCGTCGCACGGGCAGCAAGATGCCGTGCAAGCGCTCTGGGCGCTCGAATGGCTCGAACGCCGTATGACGCCGCCGACGCCGCTGCTACTGTCGGACAAGGCGCAAGCAAAACTCGCGGACTACTTTGCCCCTAAATAAATGTCATTTTCGGTGAGTTTTCATACCCGTAAAATGTTTCGGAATTTTTTTTTTCGCATACTAAAGCCAAATTTCGATTTAGCGAAATTTCAATGTAACGAAGTAAATTGCGAATTTTACCGACTTCGTTACATCGAGGTTCAACTGTATACCTAAGCGAATTGGAAAACAGGTTAGAGCAGAGCAACTTGGGATTCGATCTGACGTATATGGAGGGAGGGAGTAAGGTAAACCAAGTCATACCTGGACTGATGTATGCAGACGATATCGTACTTATAGCAGATAGCCGGGAAATATTGGACAAACTAATTGGGATATGTGGAGGAGAGGGCGACAAGCTTGGTCTGAATTTCAGTAGAGAAAAATCTGGAGTGATGGTTTTTAATGACGAAAAGGGGGAGCCGCTGAGAATTCAGAACTTTGAAATAGACCAGTGGTTTTCAAATAGGGGTCCGCGGACCCCACGGGGTCCACGAAGACACTTCTGGGGTCCGCAAAACCCTCAACAAAATTTTTTTTTTTTAGTTAGCACGTTTTTTGTAGTTTGAAGCGCGAGTGTGCCACGTATTGATGAACTGACCAGAATGAAGTAATTTGGCACCTTTGTTTTATGTTTTTCTGCTACGTAGCAATAAAAAACACCACCCCCCCCCCCCCCCCCCCCCCCCCCCGCTGGAAGAAGTCCCCCATCACTGCCAGCTGTCCGCAAGGGGTCCCCGACACATCCATGGCTGGGAACCACTGAAATAGACTATGTAGATAAGTACAAATATCTGGGGGTCTGGATGAAACAGGGAAAGAAATATTTAGAGGAACATGAGGAATATATAATAAAAAAGGGGAAAAGAAATTCGGCTATTATGAAGCATAGAGCACTATGGAATTATAATAGATACGAAGTGGTTCGAGGCATTTGGAAAGGAGTCATGGTGCCAGGTTTGTCGTTTGGTAATGCAGTGTTGTGCATGCGTTCAGAGGTTCAGACAGGATTGGAGGTCAGACAGAGAAGTGTAGGCAGGTTGGCACTGGGTGCGCATGGGAACACGCCAAATGAAGGGGTACAAAGGGACATGGGCTGGTCGTCTTTTGAGAGTAGAGAGGCAATCAGCAAATTGAAATTTGATCAAAGACTGACAAAAATGGAGGACGTACGATGGCCGAGGACAAGTATTTATACATGAAGAGTTTGAATACAAAATGGACGAACCGAACGAGAAAACTAAAATTTAAATATCTGTCATCTAGGGAGGAGACTGAGCGGAACACAACGGTAAAAAGGGCGTAAAAGAAGCTGAAAGGAAAATGTGGAGTGGTAGGATGTAAGGAAAATCGGCGTTAACAATTTATAGGTCACATAAACAGGAAATAAGAAAAGAACAGGTTTTTGATAATTCACGGGGTAGTTCCCTACTATTTGAGGCTAGAAAGGGGTTTTTAAGAACCAAAACTTATAGGGCTAAATTCGAGAAAATGGACACATTATGTGCCATTTGCCAAAATGAGAACGAAACAATGGAACATCTTGTTTTAGAATGTATGAGGCTTCGTCCTGCTCTCCCGGAGGGGTCGGCGGATTTGGCGGGGGCACTCGGTTTTGCGGACGAGGATGGAGGAATGGAGAAAAAAAGGGTTGCCATCACAAAAAGGAGATTGGAAAACTGGTGGATACAGTCTAGGGAAAATGAAGCAAGGACGAACAATTAGCACAGCTGGGGGTCAGGAGGGACAGAGGAATATTGGGACTCCCTCCCGCGTTGCTCCGGCCCAAAGTCTCACGCCTGTCCCCCAGTGGGTGTGGTTTAAGCAGGAACACCGACGAGGTTGACCAGAGGAAAATTGGCGACTCCCTCGCCCGGGGGAGGAGGCGGGGGGCGGTGTTTAATTTGTTTTTGCCCGATCCCCCAAAGGTCTTCCTGGAAAGTACTCTACCCGCCCGGTGATAGTTGCAGAGAGGTAAAGGGAAAAAAGAATAGAAGAAAAAAGGAAAAACAAATTTCTTAATCAATAATTTAAGGCTAGGTGGCACAAGCTACCGCCCGATATAAAGGGAACAGCCAATATCCATCCATCCATCCATCCATGCCAGGGGGCGCAAGCTACCGCTCCAGTGTTGTAAGGGGTGGTATAGCCGCTACAGAGCCGTATAGACCGACACGCTGTTTACAAACAAGCCCGCGTTTGCCCACACCAGGTGTGGGCACTGCGCGTGCGCACAAACCGAATTTGTGTGAAGCGAAGCGTCTGCGCATGCGCAGTGCTGTCGACAGCGCCACCGCAGCTGCGTGACGTCAGGGCCGCGTGTGGGTCTATATGTAGAGAGTTTGGCCATTCGTTGGGAGGTATAGGAGACAAATGAGGAGGTGGCATTGGCCGAAGGTGGGCTGGGCGTGCTTCAGGGCGCCTTCAGAAATTCGGATGTGACCAACTAGAGGCCGGAAATAATACCCTGGCGGTGGTTGCGAGAAACAAACCTGATAAGTGCATCGGAGTAACTCTCGCTGACTGAAAATATTGTACACATGATGTTTCAATCATGCTCATCCAAAATGATGGTGAAAGAGTGCGACTAGCGGAACGATGGACGTAATCCTTATGCCAAGCGCCGAGGGCCAAGAATCTGCCGTCCGAGTGGTCGCACTCTGTTCGAGCAAAACAGAGTTGAGCGGCGCATTCATTTCTTACATCTTCCTGCATGATCATGATCGAAACATCACGTGCACCCTATGTTCAACCACAAAAAGTTGCTACACTTCACTCTTACGCACTTTTTAAAACCATATACGAACATATACCTTTGATCAGAACTGTCTCTCGCTACCATCGCTAGGGCATTCTTTTTGGCTTCTGGTTGGTCAAGAGAGCATGCCAAGCCCTCTTTCCGAGCCTCGTGCATGCCCTGGCTCTGCCCGCGCCTCCCATTGACCAAACTCTCTGTATGCACGGCTCTGAGCCGCTAACATTCATCCATCCATCTTAATCCAAAACTGTTTAGGAAATCTCCTTTGTTGTGGCGACGTTGGTTGTGGTGAATGTTGTGCGTTGTGTTACTGGAACTTTTACTCATGATCCCTTGAAACCATCTTTGCTACAAGATGGCGGGAAAAAAATACTTTCAAGTGTTTATCCCCAGCTTTTCAACCGACTTTCCATTTATGAAGACGTCGCACAAAGGCGAAAGGAATACATTTTGTAGTCTGTGTCGCTGCGATGTCAACATTTCGCACACTGGTCGCCGGGACATTCTGTGTCATCTGAATAAAAAAAAAGCACAAGGACTCTGCAAATTTAGTTGAAACCAACGAGAAGCTTGGAGGGTACTTTAGTCGATCGACGGATTACGACACTACCCGAGCAGAAGGCTTTTTTACGGCATTTTTGATCGAACACAACGTGCCGTTCACGGCGGTTGTTGTGGAGACGTTGAAGAGCAAGAACTTTGCTCACTAACGTCTCCATTAAACAAGGCACAGGCGAAAGAGTTTTCAGCAAAGTGAAGAAGGCACACACTCAGTTCCGCTCCTCCATGTCAAAAAAGACTCTTGAACAGTTGTTAGTTGTGAGATGCAGCCAGTCTGGAAGGTGCCATGAACAAGTGTTCGACAAGAGCTTCCTAAGAAAAGCCAAAGCTGCAACTTCCTCAGTGTTGGCCCAACCTTCTACTTCCAAAGAATAAGACATTTCGTGCAATGTATGACCTAGTTGAGGCCTTTTTCTTACCCAAACCAAGTTTTTGAAGAATAAAACAGTTTTTGTATTTCTTCACACAATTGTAGTGTTTTTTGGCATCCCCTGTAGTATTTTCAGCATTGTAGGGTTGGCAGGTCTGCACGTGCTCGCTGCCTTCCACCGTGCTTTGGCTGCGCACATGCACTTGAGGGTAACGGAACACCGAAGCACTATTGAAGGCAAGGAGCTCGTGCGAGGCGGAACGGCCGAAAGACCTTTCTGCTGTCCCAATCCCGTCCGTGACCGCAGCAAATGTCTTGACCTTGGCGTTCGGGACCCTCGCGCAGCTCTTCTCAAGCGGTCTCAAGCAGAGAGGGAACACATCTGGACCTCTCAACGGCTTCCTCCTGGCAGACGTGATGGCCGAACTCCGAAGGGGCGCCAAACTGGTATGTGTTGCGTAAGTTTTGGAATCGAACGTTGTGATCTTTCCTGCAGTTTTGAACTGTGTGAAAATCCGAGTTCAAGTGGTTTATCGAAAAGCTCGGAGTGCAAAGTGAAAAGCTCGGAGTGCGTTGTTCGGAAATGTGTCCTTCTTGCCCGACTGCCGCAAGTCCCTCGCAGAAGCCACAAGAGACTTGCTGCGGTGCTGGAAGCCCTCAATGTGCAAATTGTGGGTTATTTCTCGATCTTGGAATGTTTGGATAATAGGTTTCGATTTTAATGCGAAAGCATTAACTGTCTCATGGATCGAGCTGACGTCATCAGTTTGAAGTAGGAAAACTGCTCCTAGTTTCCGCCGCGATCCCAATAGGAGCGATTCACCTTCGGTTCCATTGGCTGGTGCGCGTTGACGGGGCTCCCATTGGCTGCTGCGCCATGCCCTTCGAGATCCCGAAGCGCACGCGCGCACTATACTCCGCGACAACTTTTCTTGGCAATGCAGTGGAAGGTACGTCCCGCGTCCCCTCTTCCATTTTGAATGTACGAAGGCTCTTCACCTCCCCCATTTCCGGGGAGAGGAGGAGAGCCTGCGTACACTCAAAATCAGAGAGGGGACGCGGGACGTACGTTCCACTGCATTGCCAAGAAAAGTTGTCGTGGAGTATAGTACGCAGCAGACAACAAAAGGAGTGGATGAGTGGCTTGCATGCTTTCGCATTTACAACTCATAAGAAATTCTTAGGTGTACCTCGAGCTTTTGTTTTTCAAGTTGTTTGACCCAGGTAGACAGTTGAGGTTTTTGATGTGTTAGGGACCTTTGAGCTCAACAAGTTCAAAGATTGTCGGACTGATTGGCTCGACATGTTTGGAGAGTGCGGAAGACTTACAACTTTCTGTGCTCGACATTAAGCCTCCCCAATCCTAATGCTTGAAAAAAAAAAAAAAAAAAATTTGTTTGCATTTTTTATAGCCTTTGAACGCTTTGGCATCCTTTTAAAAGGGGGGGGGGCATCTTTGAAAATCGCAAAATCGAGAAGTGTCGAGTTTTAGAAAACCCTATTTTCGGGTTGTATATCTCATAAACTACCTTCTCTGTAATTAACGGCACCTAATACTACGAGGAAATATCTAAAACAAATATTTACGAGGCCTGGGTAGTGTCCAAGTGAGGGTCAAACGTAAAAGTCAACCCCAACTTCGCGCTCGTCATTCCCGACGCATTTAGCCGAAGGCTGCCATACTGGTCTTGAAGGTGAATTCTTTCTCTTATTTGCTGGCTCCCAAAATGGTGTTGGCCACGTGGCTATGGCATGGTCGCCATTCTTTTTTGTCGCAATTGCAAGAATATGATTGGACAGAGCGCGTGCTCGTGGAGCATGCAACTTCTATTGGCTGGGACGCGATTTCTCCGCTCGAGGAGTGCTTTCCTCCTCTTCGTTTCTTCTTCTGTTGCCGTTCGTGTTGTCTGCTCTTGGCAGTGTTCTCCTTGCACGCTCTCTCGCTTTGTCAGCTCCGCTTCATTTTTTGACCTTTTACAATCCGGCGATTTTTGAGCTACCTCAACTAACTATATTTTCTGACTCCCCGGCCTTTACCCTTTCTGGTATGCTATTTAGTATCGTGAAATTCATAATAGTTATTGCGAAATCCGCAAATGAAAATGATGCAAAAACCAACATTCAAATATGCCCGCCCTTTTCAGTGCCGTGACGTCAGTGGAAGGCAAGCTTGTCAGTCGGGCGAGCAGTTTTAAAATAAAATATGCCAATCATTTGTTCCGTGCTGGAGCGCGGGGAATGGAGCGAGCTTCTAAAGCATTCATTTGACACCATGAAACTGCTTTGAATCAGTTGGGAACAAATTCTACAGTCCAAAGAGTGAACCCCTACACTTCCACTGACGTCACTTTTTCGTTTTTGCCAGTAGAGACTTTCAGTTTGAAAAACACGGTGAGGACCAAAATTGTAAATTCAATAACTTCATGAAAAAAAATTATTTTCACCTAATATTTGGGATACTATTTTGGCGATGTTGTTTGGCGAGTTTAGCAAAATTTCAAGCAAATCGGGGACATGAAGAAATCGGCAGAGTACCCCTTTAACGTTAGCTTTGTGTAGCGTGCCGGTCTGTTTTGTGGTCGCACACAATGCGAAGTTCAAAGTACAAGGCGATGGGCACTTGTCGCGCGGAGGCGGCCCATGAAGTTACTGCGGATGGCGAAGCTGGAAGTTTCTGCGCGGCGTGCCGTCAATGATGATCGTATGAAAGCTTCCAGCGATGGATTTCCTCTGCCATCGGCTGTTGCTGAAAAAAAATGCATCGCCCCGCTGACGCATAGAGTACAGAGCACGTTGAATGCTGCAATTCCTTCCGAGCTTGCAGGTTCCGGCGCTCGTCTTCGGCCTGTCGCGACGAGTGGGAACGCATCGTCCAGCACCCATATGCGGACGCATTACGTGGCGCGTGAGGAGATCGAAGCAGAATGTAGACGGTGTGATACTGTTCAGGCCGAACTAGGAGATATGTCAGCAACCCAGAGGAAGTTTGAAGCCATGCTGCCTGATCTCACACTTGCCTGTGCTACAAGCAAAGGTGTGAAGTTCTGCCTTGTTCAGATTGATGTTTTGAGTAACCTGCTCTGCTGCACAATGTGTAAGCATTGCTTGGGAACTGGATTGACTGTCTAAGAAGGCACCAAACTCCGACTGCCAGCAAAACTCGAGGTCGTATGTGCCCATTGCGGCATTCTTGCAAGTTCCTGGACTTTGCCACGCCAACAAGACTCGAGGGTCTTCGAAGTCAACATCTGCTTCATCATGGTGATCAAGCCGATGGGAAAGGGGCAGATAGCTCTCAATGACTTTTGGGCAGTTATGAACGTCTCCCACAGAGGTCTCTACCACAAGGGTTCCAGCAGCACCTGAAAAAGACCTTCAGAGAGCCAGAGGACCTGTGCATGGACAAGTTTTATGCCGAGTCAGCTGTCGCGGTGAAGGCAGCCTGTCAGAAGATGGATGCGGGATTCTGCAGGGATATCACTGTGGTGACCGCAGACTTGTGCTCGTTACTTGAAAAATGTAATGGATTATAATTACAAATTACAAAGCCTCAAATGTAATAGATTACCGTTACAAATTACTTTCACCGAAAAATAAATGATTACTCATTACGTCACAAATTACGTTTTACGTTACTTTTTCCGTACACTTGTCCAGAAAACAATAAAAACAATTTTGGCATTTCTCAAAAATGTTTTGCAACACTATTTTTCATTTCTCATGCACCCGTATTATGGTAGTCCCTGTAAGAATAAAATATTGTATTCAAAAGAGTGTAGGTCCACTCCGTTCACTTGTAAGCTAACAAGGCACCGAAAGCTGCAAAATACACCCGCTATCCCGCTAGCTTACGGCCTCCGGAAATGATCCCTGGAATTGTGCAGACAAAGCTAGCGGTGCGCTTGCTCAGTGGCAGAGTCTACCTCCGCTACAAGATTCAGAGCTAAAGAAGCGATGTGCAAAAGCTTCCTTTTTACTCGGGTGTTTCGCCTGTTATTCACAAAAAAAGGAAAACTTGATTCTAACGTTACAATGTATAGCCAATGCAGAATGCAGGTGTCCCAGATTACATTGATGTGTTTCCGTATATTAGAGTTTTTTGTTCTTGCTGATGACAATGTGTTTTTTTGGCAAGCAAAGTATGTATGCACTGAAACTCGAGGTTTCTGTTCTCAATGTCCTGAATTCTGAACATCTCATTAAGAGATGGCCATGGAGATGACGGACACTCCATGACCGAAAACTCGACCAGCCGGAGAAAAAGTGGCAGTTACGGGTGAGCGATCATTCATCGGTTCTTACTTTCATACCAATATTCGTGGAGGCTGAAGGAGGGGGGAGGGCATAAAGAGTGGAAGAAGCGGTGGCCATCGGTCTCACGAAACAATAGAGGGTCACTTCACTTTTATGCATTCTCTCTCTCTCCTTCAGCACTCCTTAGATGGTGCCCCCCCCCCCCCCCCCCCTTTATGTTGACAGTTGACTGTAAAGTGAGGAGTGGACTCGACCACCATGCCCAGCCAAGTAAACCAAAGGAAGTATCGTCCATACTCTCGAAGATGACGCTCTTAGCCTCGCGCCGGGCGCTTTTCAGCCGTGCCTCAAGAGTGTGCTAGAATAAAGTAGCACACATCAAAGACAAAGCGAATTCCACTCCCCCACGAGGCTACATCGTCCGTTAGGCGAGTAGTGTGCCCGCGAACCGAGGGTCTACGGACCCGCGTCTAATGTCTGTGCAGGTGGCGGGAGACACAAAGGAGTTTGAAAGGGTGAAACAACGTAAAAGACAAAAACAACCACAAAGAGCTTTTTCCTGCCCGGGAGAAGAAAAACACGATGGAAGGCGACAAAAAGCCTACTTGGCATTGTCTTGCTTGATCTTTGTCTTTCGTATATTTGTACATGCCTTGCCCGTTTTTCTAGTGTCTGGTCATGCAAAAGATTGTGTTTTCTTTTCGGCTATCCTCTCCTTCCTGATGTTTTCTATTTTGTCGAACTTGCTCTCTTTATGCTGCTGAATGTTTTGCTCATATTGCTCCAGTTACTGCATTATGCTCCTATTTTTAATAAGTAATGAATAATTAAAGTAATCAGTTACCAATATTTTGTAAGGAAATTATACTACAAATTATTTTAGGAAAAAGGTAACGTGGCAATTACAAAATTACTCAAAAAAGTAATGAATTACAAGTAATCCGTTACTTGTAATCTGTTAGAAGTTGCAAGTAATCCGTTGCTTGTAATGGATTACCTTCCAAGTCTGGGTGTATGACGTCACATGGTACAAGAGAGGGCACACATTTCGCATCGGAGTTGGGTCAGTCATAGAATACCACACAAGCCTCATCTTGGACGCTGTGGTTTCGTCCAACCTGTGCCTTGGGTACCAAACAGGACCCAAGCCTGGAGATCAAGGGTATGACAGCTGGCGCATGCATAACGTGTGCCAGAAAAACACTGATGCCAAATCCGGGAGGATGGATGTTGAGACAGCCCTGACCCTCTTCAGGCACTCGTCTTTAACGGGGACAGCAGGACCTTCTCTGCCCTTACAGAAGAGAACATCTTTAGGCTAGTCCCCATCGTGAAAGAAGAGTGGTTGAACCATGTTCGGGGGGGGGAAGAGGATTGGAGTGGCACTGTGCAACCCCATCGAGAAGAGCAACAAGCTGTTGAGTGGTAAGGGCAAGTTGATGAAGGCCCTCATTGGCAAGCTTACTGACTACTATGGCTGGGCCCTCCAAAACACCTCCAAGGACGTGGCAGCGATGCAGTGTGCTGTTATGGCCACATACCATTTTGTCACGTCGACTGACCTGAAACCTCACCATGAACTCTGCTCGGAAGAGCTCTATCGTTGTGCCATCATAGAATTGCTGAGGCAAAAGGTGAGCCCCAGCACAAACACAAACTCCCAGGCTATGTTGCTGCAGCTATGCTGCCCGTCTACCAACGCCTGTCGCAGATTTCTCTGCTTCAGCGCCGCTTGGGAGCAAAGACTCGGAATGCATCCGAGTCTTTCCACTCAGTTCTGTGGTGTTTGATGCCTAAGGAACAGCATGCATCGCTGATCGCTGTTGAAAGTGCACAGCACAAAGTGGTGTTGAGGTTCAACGGCTGTTGCTATAGGGCGACGGCAGAAATGTTCGTTGCAGTGGGACCCAGTCGGCCCATCTAACCCTCCAGCGAGCTGCGGAGAAAGATGCCCTGCGGCTGCACAAGGCCAGCAAACGACACCGAGAGAAGTCGGATAGACGGAGCAAAAAGAAAGTGCGCAAGAACACTTCAGACTACTCTGCAGAGCCATTCTAAAGCCGAAAATCTGCGTGCAACTTTCAAGTGCCGTTTTCTTGGAATGGATTTTTTCAGTAACGTGACTGCTTCTCCTAGCGATATCTCGGGTACTGCTCAATGAAGCTCCTCCTCGCTGTTCTCGTCTGGTCAGTGACTCTAGTAAACTATCTAAGGTCTGCAATCGTCGTTCAAATGGTTTCGAAACCTTTTTTTTCTTTTTCTTTCGTGACTTCTACGGTTGGCATTGGCAGGAGACTGAGGTGTATGTTTTGCCGGCCTCCTATTGCGCAGAAATGTTGCTACTGCAACAAGTTCAAGGCCACTGTGGCATGCTGTCTGAAGATGTGCGAGAAGAAGTTCCACGTGGGCTGTGGCATTGCCAACGATTGCCTGCTCCAGTTCTACGGCGACTTCAGGTCAGTTGGCCGTCTTAGCTTGTCCGCCCAAAAGAGGGAAGTGAATGGTGGGTAGCCTGTTTCGCTGCATAGGCTTGCCACTCCTATCGAGGAGTGAAGCGCTCGTGTGGCAGACCACGTTGTCGCTCCACGACGCATAAATGCGACATTGTCGCATTTACGCATTTGAGTGCAATCGACTGCATCGCGACCGGTTTAGACTGCTTGTGACGAGAGGACAGATCTCACGCGCATATGTTTTGCACATTCTTTTACGGTGTGCTCGCCACGCTTTTGACAGCGTTTCGGACCGACCTTTTCTCGCAGACGGTGCATAATTTTGGTCTCTCAAGTGCTGTGAAACTTTCAGTCTATGCTCGTGTCGACTATTTTGAGCTAAGTTGTGGAGGCTAGCATAGCTTCTGCAGTGGTCCAGCTCCGTCGAGCCCAGTTGCGCAAGTGCATGCAAACGAAAAGCAAGACGACGCCGCGAGCTTTCACAGCACCGTGGAAGCTACGGTGTTGCTACAGAACACTGCCGACCTCGACAAGGTCGGCAGTGTTCCAGGGCCATGTGATGAATGGCGTCTGCGTGTTAAGCGGTTGCAATGCAGTCGGTTAGACTGAAACGCAAAGGTGTGAAACAACTTTAGTTCTTCCGGCGTGCGGTGAGGTTTCTTCTTATTTTGCCCGGGCTCCATTCCCAGGGCCTACTGCCCAGACCATCGTCCCAATCAACACATGACGCCCAAGGAAACGGGCCCGGCCTCTTGCCTCATCTGTGCCTGCGAACTGGTGCCACAACCCTCCCCGCGGGTGCTGCTCACGCCCTGTTGCAAGAACTCCTTCCACAAGGCCTGCCTGCAGGTGAGGGGGTCCTGTGCATTGTCTGAAAACGGGACGAAACCCGGAGGGGCCCGGAAGACTCTTTGGCGATGTCTTAGTAATCTTAGGGCGGTGCCATTTCATAGTCTTGGTAGCCTTCTGATTGTTTTCTCCTTGCGCTCGACCCTCGTAACGAAAGGTCACGTAAAGCATTGCAAACAATATAGGCTGAAACAGTCCTTCACGCTTCCTTGGAGTACCTGCCAGCTTTTGAGAGATCTGCGGTACAAACTTAATGGAATGCGAAGTTGAGGTCCCATTCTTCGAACTATTTGACATATTGAAAAAAAGAATAAAGCTCGCAGGGACCGCAGATGCAGAAAAAGACCAGGTCAGCCGCTCCGGCTCATATTGGCTGGGAGGGTACAACGAAAACGTTTGCCAGTCCCGTGGAATTCTTTACGAAGGTGTTTGACACCACCTTTTTTATTGTAAGCGTCCTCCATTTGAAAACCGTCGGCTTCGAGAGCTTCTAACTTGAGGCTGGAAACTGTCTCCCCCGCAGTCTTTGTCTCGGAGACGCGCGCGTGACCTCAGAAGTTGAGGAGGAGGAGGAGGGGAGGGGAGGGGAGGGGAGGGGAGGGGAGGGGAGGGGAGGGGAGGGGAGGGGAGGGGAGGGGAGGGAGGGAGGGAGGGAGGGAGGGAGGGAGGGAGGGAGGGAGGGAGGGAGGGAAAGAGGGAGGGAGGGATTTTTTTGACGAGTGTCGCTCCCTCGCAGGCGCAGGCTATGAGTGCAGGCTCCCATCTCTTTAAGTGCTCCGTCTGCAACAACAAGGAAGCCTTCCAGAAAGAGATGCTGGACTACGGGATCTCCATTCCCGAACGGTGAGTGACGACCTCACGCCTCTGTTTGTGCAACGCCGCTTGGAAAAGGAAATCCTGCACGTGGCGTCGTTGTCGTTAGAGTATTGCCGACCCACCCCTAGCGGCAGGCACGCCGAAGTTGGATGAGACTCCGCAGAGTGGCAGACGCGTCTGTTGGGCGTCACTGTGTGAAGTCTACCGTTGCGCTTGTTGCAAGATGCCACAGGCTGCACCGACGCTGACGCTTGCACGAGCTGGGTTGTGCTGTCTGGATCTACTAGTGGTGAAGTTGTGGGTAAAGGTCGAGGCTTTGTCTGCTACGTTTAATTGATCCCTGTGGTGTTGCAGCACATGTTGCAGGCATGTGGTAGGGTGCCTGCGAAGGGCGTGGCGCTCATTCATTTAGAAAACCCAGCCGAACGTATCGACGACTTGGCAAAGCATTTTTTTGTTGTCGCAAAGACTGTCTCCCACAACAAAATAGCTTCTACATGAGTATGTGCTATGCAGGGACGCATCCTGGGAGAGGCAGCAGGGTGCCTACCAGGAGCTGCTGTACCGGTACCAGAGGTGCGACGCAGTTCGGTGCCGCTGCCCCATGGGACGGGAGATATCGCTGGACGGATGGTAACGCTTTCCTTGCCGTCGTCTCTCCAATCCTTGTCTTCCCCCCCATTTCATCGCAGCTGTGTCTCACTCAACCCTCTAGTTTAAAGTGTTTCCCCGTGCCAAACTTAATTACTGTAATGTCCCGATTCATTGCCCGCCCCCCACTGCCGCCTGAAATTAATAAAAATGAGTGGGGTGGGCCATGTCTCGATGGGTAAGCACTAAAAATTTAAGAGAAACCTTTGTTAGGCTTCCCTACCTTTGCTGATATGTAAATTCAAAAATAAGTCGTGTAGAAGGAAGAGTCGTCCAAAAAAATAGAAAAAGAATGAGGCACAACCTGCGAGCGAGCGGGTGAAAGAAACCACGAAGAGCGATGCTAGAGATGCAGGAAAGTTGATAGTTGCATTCGCAAATATTTTGATGTCGGGCCAAGTCGGGCTCCTTGTTCATCACAAGGAGCAGGCTCTTGCGCAACCTTGTTTCGTGCATACCCGCGTGCGCCCGTGTGCGGCCGCATCAATGCGGGTTGAGGTGGCATTGCTGCAATAACACAGAGTCCCATTGCCTTTGTCTTAGACACGCTGAGCACTCAACACTAAATGTACTCTCACGGACACGCTGCAGAAATCGTTTGGTTGCACCAGCGCGTCCATTCTTTGCTCGGTATGGGTCCCTTCTATGTGCCGCTTCATGTTCCCGGACAGCACAATCTTGAGGTGGAATGCGTTGCATCCTAACACCCAGGTTGAGACCGTCGGCGCCTACACATTGTCGACACTCTCTCTCGTGCTCCGTTCATTTTCAGCAATACGACACCCGCCCAGTACACAAGCCCAGTGCAGCTGATGCTTTAAAAGAAAGCATCTTTGACTTATTGTGTTATCTCCATCATTGTCGACCCTTTTGCACAAATGTACTCGGACTTTGGGGTTGCAGAAACCGGGAAAGATACGCATAAACATAAAGAGGAGTGTCTTTCCCCCCTTCGTTTTACTTTGTCATGAACATCCTCCAACCGTACGGTCTGCGGTCGCAACATTCAGGGAGGATGAATGATCGTGGAGTATTCGCAGAAGTAAGTGAGCACTGAGTGTTTTTTTTTTTTGAAAATCAGTATTTGCTCAAAAAGTGGGGTGGGTAATGACTCGGAATATTACGGTAGTCACTCTAATTGCATGATTTTAAATTTCTTTTATGACTTGAACCCTGATGACTTCGATTGTCAGTGACTTTGCAAAATCTGATGAATTTATGATCATGTGACGGTAGTAACATTGTGAACACTGATGAGTTTGTGATCCATGTACAGTCGAACCCGGATATAACGAATTCAAAGGGGATCGTAAAATAGTTCGATATATCGATAATTTGGTATCCAAAGCTCCAGTTGAAATTTCTGCGCATCTCTGCTAATACCGAAGGCCGTGACAAACGGGACCTTAGCAAATAGAGCCTCTAAGAGCTGCTAAATACTGTAGAGTTTAGTTGGTGAAGATCACAAACACCGCCGCGTTTACACGACGGTGTTTGCGATTGTTTGCGCCTGGCCACGACCTCCACCCAGCACCAAGAACAAAACATAAAAATAATTAAAAAAATGAAAGAAAAAAACAACAAAAACCGGAAAAACCTTTTGATCCATAGAATAAAGTTAAGCGAGCAAAAAAAAAAAAGAAACCTCATTAAAATCAGACAGCAAAAAAAAAAAAAAAAAAACGGGCAAAGCAAAAACGGCGGAAGAAAAAATTAAATAAAGATAAGGCATTCAAAGTGTGATTGCTCAACCGTTGTTGTCAGCACACTCAACTTGACAAAGAATTTTTTTTTTTTTTTTTTTTTTTTTTTGCATTTTATTTTGGGGTTAGGAAGTCGCGCAGGTGTTCGGGAAAGAGCGCACGCTACCGTTCCAACAGCGAGCCCTCCCTGCCCTCCCTACATGTGTGCCCTTCCCCTTACTTTTGCCATCCTTCCCTCTTTTTGTTTTTGACAATTTTTTTACGTTTTTTTTACTGCTTTTTTGTTGCGTATGTTGTATGCCTGTGCGGGTATGCTGGCTTGGTGGTCTGACAGCCCTGCAACGCGAGCTATCTCGCCGCCGGCGCAATCCGACCAGAGAGAAGCAATGGGTGGCTGTTTTAGTCCGCTATATTGAGTGTCCTTGCCATGGGAGTTTGATACAGAAAAAACAACGCTCCTATACTATTACATGCGATTCTCAAGGGGATGTTTGGACCGTTTCATATAAACAATAATTCAAAATGCCGGGGTGTGATATAACCGGGCTCGACCGTAATGTTGAGTGACTTTGTCGACTTTATCAGCTCATCTTGTACAACAGTTCATTACTCAATGAATTTGGAGTTGGTCGTGATATAATGGAGAGGGGTGTATGCTTTGGCTGATCTGCATATTGATAGGCGACGAGGTTTGGGTACGGTTGAACTTCGTGACATGAGAGGTTGCAACTTTTTGGGTGTCGCTGTACTTCTCGGCTTGAATGCAAATGTATCTTTTTGAACTTCCGACTTGGTGATGTGACGCTGAGTGAGTGAGCTCCAGAGTGATGACTGATGTATGCCGCTTTGTGTCTGTTGTCTGCAGCAGTGACTGGGAGGTGATCCCCTGCAGCACGTGCGGATCTCAGGGGATCCACAAAGCCTGTGGGAACTTGTCCAGGGCCCCCGTGCAAAATGCCAACTTGTGGATCTGCGTCCAGTGCCGAAAAGTCCTCTCTCAGAGTGAGTCCGTTCATCCTCCGCGTTGACAAGCTACACAAGTTACAGTCGAGCCCAGTTATATCACACCCGGGTATTTCGAACTATTGTTTATGTCGAACAGTCCACTCATCCCCTTGAAAATCACATATAAAAGTATAGGAGGGTTGTTTTTCTGTATCGAACTCCCATGACCTCCCATAGCGGGGTCACTGGATAGTGCAAACAAAGCAAGGCCGCCGGTCCCTTCTCCCGCGGTCAAATTGCGGTTGGATTGCACCGGCAAGAACAAAGGGCAAGAAGAAAGCTCGCGTTGCGAGGCTGGCAGACTGCCAAGTCAGCATAAATGCACAGAATACTAAACAAAAAAACAGATGCAAAAAAAAAAAAAAAAAAAAAAAAATTGGAGGATGGCAAAAGCAAGGGAAAGGGCACGCATGCACGTAAGGAGGGCAGGGAGTGCCCGAACGGTAGCGTGTGCTCTTTCCTTGAACTCTGCTGTTGCTGTGCGACTCCTCAACCCCAAAATAAAATAAGCAAAAAAAAAAAAGTCTTCGTCAAGGTGAGTGTGTTGACAACTGTTGAGCAATCACACTTTGAACACCTTATCCTTGTTTATTTTTTTCTTTCCCCGTTTTTGCTTTGCCCTGTTATTCTCTTTTTTTGCCTTTTTTTTTTTTTTGCTGCCTGAATTTAGTGAGGTTTCTTTTTTCTTGCTTGCTTAACTTTATTCTATGGATCCAGAGTTCTCTCTTAAGCGGCTCGCGCTTTTTCCGTTCTTTCATTTTTTTTAAAATTATTTTCGTGCTCTGTTGTTTGCACTCGATTACAAACACTGTCATGTAAACGCGGCTGTGTTTGTGATCTTTACCAACTAAGCTCGACTGTATTTAGCGGCTCTTAGATGCTCTATTTGGTAAGGTCCGGTTTGTCAGGGCCTTCAATATTATCAGAGACACACGTAAATTTCAACTGAAGCTTAAAGGGGTACTCCGCCGATTTCTTCATGGTCCCCGATTTGCTTGAAATTTTGCTAAACTCGCCAAACAACATCGCCAAAATAGTATCCCAAATATTAGGTCAAAATAATTTTTTTTCACGAAGTTATTGAATTTACAATTTTGGTCCTCACCGTGTTTTTCAAACTGAAAGTCGCTACTGGCAACAATGAAAAAGTGACGTCATTGGAAGTGCAGGGGTTCACTCTTTGGACTGTAGAATTTGTTCCCAACTGATTCGAAGCAGTTTCATGGTGTCAAATGAATGCCTTGGAAGCTCGCTCCAGTCCCCGCGCTCCAGCACGGAACAAATAATTGGCATATTCTATTTTTTAGACTGCTCGCCCGACTGGCAAGCTGAACTTCCACTGACGTCACGGCCCTGAGAAGGGCGGGTATATTTGAATGTCTGTTTTTGCATCATTTTCATTTGCCGATTTCGCAATAACTATTATGAATTTCACGATATTAAATAGCATTCCAGAACGGGTAAAGGCCTGGGAGTCAGAAAATATAGTTAGTTGAGGTAGCTAAAAAATCGGCGGAGTACCCCTTTAAGTTAACTTTCTTTGTATATCCAATTATCGGTATATCGAAAATTTTTACGATCCCCTTTGAATTCAATACATTCGGGTTCGACTGTACGTCTAAAGTACAGGCACTCCATTCTCCCGTTTTGTTATGGGCACCTCCATGTTATTGCTTGGTGCAGTGCGAGCCCAGTCTGCCATTTTTAGAAATAATGGCACCACCTTGCAGAAAATGGAATTTGAGGATTCTTAGGGCGCAATTGGGGGCATAAAGATATGCTGCAATCGACATGAAAGGGACTGGAGGAGCCCAACCTAGGTCACTTCAGCTTAATGGAGCCACCAGGATCTGGCAATCATTCCGATTAAACCATTGCCAATCATTCCGATTAAAAAATCGACTTTACAAGCTTTAGATACCATGTCGGGAAGCCCGGGCGGTATCATTTTGCACTTTCACAATCCGTTCTGACGTGACGTTTCTGGAGGACGGAAAACCGGTTTTGGCAGTTTCAGAGAAAGCTTTGGACAACTGGCTACAATTATATTGAGCAGCAAGTCGCTTGCGAAGTGTGGCTTATTCAGTGGCTTGAGTCGCTGCTACTTTTATGCTCTTGACAACATTAGTCTTATTTTACTTGAAGTGGGGGCATCCGGCCGGTAATGGCCGATTACACGACACACCGAATCATAATTTTCGTCCGGAGACCGTGTACTACGTGATTGTCACGTCACCACTTCGTGCAATATGTGCCCTTTCCGCGGACGCGCCTACAAATGGGCGAGCACCTTTCTCCTCGCAGGTTTCCGGCAGGTGATGGACTTCAGAAGCATCTCGTCTGGCAACAGTGCCATGCTTTCTTTGTTTTTTGTTCTTGGATGAGCAAAACAAAGATGGCACATCATTGTGTTTTGTCCATTCACTGGTTCATTTTATTGTGCGATTCTTGGTTTCGCCCGTGCAAGAAGCTGCAGAAACTCTGCCCAACTGTTGCGACGCAAGTCCCAATAGTGCTCCGGGTCCGTTACAAGAATTCTGGTTTGTCAACACTTGTCTAGCATGCTGCAAACTCTTTTGCACGTCCAATCCGCCTTTCATCCAACAAAACCTTCCTTGTGGCTGTGGTGTACTCAAGTGTCGAGTGCGGCAAGCGTGGAGGCATATCCAAACGCTCCTCTACGAGCCCAGAACTTCGCCGTTTCTACGCCGAAGCCTCCTTGAATAGGACCATGCTTGTGCCGCTCTCATGGGTTAGTAAAGCTAGTGGCACTTCATACCAAGCCTATCGCGGTGGCCTAGCGGACGTTGCTGATTGAAAAGCAGCTGTTTACCCCCTAAGTGGACGAAACAAAGCTAGAAATATGGCTTGCTCAAATGCACACGCTTGCTCAAATGAAATGCGGTTGAAGAGAGACGCTTGGGTGGCAGCGCAGCAATTTTCATACTTCGCACAAATACCACTTAGAACGAATCCCCGACATTTATGACTAAGGTTCAGCGTTTTTGGTTTTTATTTTCTTTTTAATTCGGCACACTTTTTTCGGTTTTTATTTGGAATCAATATTTTCGGTTTTTATTTGGAATTGATATTTTCGGTTTTTGTCGGTGAATATAAATACAGCTAAACACGTTTTCATTTTTCTTTTTTCCGGTGAATATGTATATTGGTTTTAGCATTGCTGTTATTGGGGAGAAGATCGAGAAGTAGCGCTCCCTAACTGCCACCTCGGGAACTAAGGCTGTGGGGCAAACAAACTCTGACCGCAGTCATTAGAGCATTCGCTGCCACGGAAGACGACGATGCAACACATCTAGATAAGAGTAATATGTAGTCCCCTCTTCCGTTCAATGTCACCGAAGTCTTTTTGGAAGGCACAACGAAAACATGTGTGTCACGCGCGGGAGTGCCAGGCCAGCCGCGTCGTTTCGGCCACGCGCACTGGATCGTGTGTGACCGGCGCAGCGTTCGTGTTTTTCTAAATGATTTCCAAAACACGCACTTCACTTTTCAGTTACCCTGTCTCTTGCGGCAGTCATGGACGACATCGGCGAAAGCAAGCGGTGTCTGATTGAAGGAGAGCAAGTGCTCAACTGCAATCATGTCATTGAGTGCAGCATTGCACTGGTGCTAACGGCAGAGAGTGTCCACATTCTTGCATACGTGCTGCAGTTCTCTGTGCTGCATATACGTGGTTCAAAAGCATGCTTCAAGCACTGCGGTATAGTCGCTGACTGATTTCTCAGACTCGTAGAGGGCCCCGAAATTGTCCGAATAATCAAGCGGTCCGAAAAATTGATTTCAGCCAAAATATCAAATTTCCATGTATGTTCTGCTGCGTATTGGTCACTTTCCAATTGCTTGATGTCAATTTTAAGTTCTCGTGCAACTTCCGCTTTATACTGTTCACTTTCCACTTGTTTGTTGATCTGTTTGTTCATGGTGCTGCGCTTTTAGGCGCCATCGTTGGCACAAACAGCCAAGTAGAAGTCGGTGCCATTTGGAGACAACGTATAGTTCACCAAGCTCGCTTCGACACTAAGCCTATCAGCAAAAACTCTTCGCGCTCAAAGACCACAAGAACGGCAGACAGACGCTCTTCTCGCGGTCGCACTCGAAAAATGCGGACCACGAGGAGTACGGGAAGAACCATAAGAATGGGCAGACAGTGGCCATGTTGGCTATAGCAGAACCGGAAAACCCGACTATAGCTTCAACCCAGCTTGTTTATTGCTTAGGATGTGGTATTGAGGCTACAGGGCAAAATCAAAACAAGCAAAATTGCAGCAGCAACTAAGCTTGCGGCGCTATTGCGGTGGCTGTAAACTAAGGAAATCACGCAAATTATGTCCGAAATATTGAGCAATAAGTTTTATGGCGCCCGAAATTTCGGTCAATGCTATACACTAATTCTAAGGAGTGACTGACGGTTCGGCACAAAAACGTCCGAATAACCAAACATGTTCTAAAAATCGGTCGGCGACTGTTCGCAGCAGGTGTGCACCATATCGCTACAAACGATTACAGTTGAACTTCGATATAATGAAGCCAGGAAAATCCGCAGTTTACTTAGTTACATTTAAATTTTGTCACATCGAAATTTGGTGCCCAGCACATGAAAAATCATTGAGATGTGTTACGTGTGCAAACACTCGCCAGAAGCAATCTTTATTTGCAACGAAAGTAGACCGTGATCTTCGCCTGTGACTTCTGCGACATTAATATTCGCGTCGCACCGCGTTCGAACCCCCACAGTGCATGCATCGTATCTTGTTTCTCATGTGCACTGGTGTACCGCCTCAGCACGTCAATCCCGTCGAGCACCTCATGGCTGCTCGGTACCTCGCAAGGGTCTTCGACGTCCGCCTCTCTGTCATTGTCTTTCGATTCACCGAGCACGTCCTTCACGATGGAATCATCGGTAACTTCTTTTGTCGCAACGACACACGAGTCTCCATAGAGAAAGTTCTCTAGAGTGATACCATCCGGAACGACTCCGTCACTGTGAAGGGACTGCCATGCTCCCGAAAGAGCCTCTTGGTCTTCTTCCAGGAGAGCTTCTTGGCTTCCACTGCGCTCACTTTTTCTGGGAATGGTAGAGGACAAAGCCCTTCCGCTTGGTTCCTCACTGTCCACTTACTCACGGACACTGTATGCGGGTGTTTAAAATCCAGATTTTCTGAAGCAGTTCTTGATGACCTCCTCTGCTGTGACATTTTCAAGCACTCGCAGTTGCGGTAAATTTTTTTCATATTCTTCACTCCTTTTTTGAAGTATTCCTTAGGGCCCTCTTTTTTGGTATTTTACGGCGATGGCACTTTGTTATATTGAAATAGCTGCTAAAATGACTTCGGTATCTAAGGCTAAAAATACATGGTGTTCTATGCCCAAGAAATTATGAAAAATGCTCGTCAGCGCTGCCGATGAAACTCAAGCAATCGCACTCAGAAGCGTTGCCTCAACCGAGGTTGGGGTTAGTTGCCACGGATAAACTTTTCTTCTTTAAAGCTTTCTGCTTGCCCTTTTGGCAACTTTCTTTGAACTTGTGTTGTTCGAAACTTCCGAGCTCAAAAGTCACGTTTTCGGTTGACGTCCGTCGCGAAGAAAGCAGAATGATCGAACAAGTCATTGGTTCTGGTTTCAGGAGCAGTGAGACGCTAAAGCAGCAAGCAAGCTTTGCTGTGCAGCAAGTTGCTGTCTGCCTATGGCAGGGCCACAGTCTGATCTCGTGGCTTAAAACGCCAGTGGCAACGCGCGTTTCCAGCGGGAAAAATGTTTATTTATTATTATTTGCAATCGGAATACAAAACTATCAACGACAGTTTCGGAGTGAAAACAGCTAGGCCTAGGCGTTGAAATAAATGTGATGGCGGGCGACGCTACGATTCAAAGAATCGCGTGTTCGGAAATGGCCCAGATTTGCGCTGTTTTCCATCGCGAGAAAGGCTTCAAACTCGTTTGTGACTAATTTTGCGATGATACCCGGTCTTGATTTTTTTATATGCAAAAGACGAAGGTTCAAAGATAATAAAACGCAAAAAAAGAAAACACAAAATCACTTTGTTTTTGTTAAAATTTGAAAATATTGCCGTTTTTTTATTTGTGTCTTTCCTTAGAGTACCCCGTTGCTGTTGTAAATAACAAAACCCTGATTTAATTTTTTTTTTCTTAAAACCTACATATTACTGTACATTTTAGTGTGCATTTGTATTATTATATTTTAAATATTGCGCATGTTCATGTTTCCCTGCTGCCGTGGAGGAGGCAGAGGCTTGCGAAGCAACGCTTAAGTTGCTTTTTTCCTTGCTTCCCCTCTCAGAGTAAAGAAATAATGTGAATTTAAAAATCCAAGGAAAACTTTAGAAGTCAATCTGCTTTTGCACACTACATATGCGGTGTGGACTCTAGTGTGTAAAATATGGTGCACTTGTTCGTCATCCATGTCTCTCGCTTTCCACAGGATTGCCTACGGGACTGCCCAACGGCCCTCTGAAGAGTAAAGGAGCCGCCGCGTCGACGTCGACACCCTCAGAATCCCCATTGACGGAGATGGACGGGACGGAGCTGCCATCCCCCGAGAGGGCGGTAGAGGCCGCCAGCCCGGGTCCCAAGGTTCTGTATCCGAGCATCCGTGCCGCGGACGCCGTCGCTGACTCGTCTCCGCAGTCCGAATTTGGCGAGGATTCGGACGTAGAATTCGTCAAGGTCGTCCCGCATCAGAAACCGGCGCCAACGCCCATCGTCATTTCGGACGAGAGTTCCTCGGAGGACTCGTGCGAGTACACCGACTGCCAACGAAAGAAAAACTGCTTCGAGTTCCACTTCGAACCGGGCTCAGTTCACCTGGAGAAGGTCGACGGATTTGTAGTCATCTCACTGGATCCTCACAGAGGATCTGCCGAAACTAGTCACACGTAGGAAACAAACAAAAATAAAAGATCCTGTGCGAGAGAAAATGAAGAAGACAAAACTATGCTCCAACGACACCACTTTTGTTTTATGTTATACTGTTTTTAATGTGAAGGCAACATTCTTATGCATTAGTTTCTTTAATAACTAAATTTTGTGTTGGTGTTTCCTTTTTTTTTTTTTTATATATCCAAGCAGGATTGCCACAGATATGTGCACGTTGGTCGTAATTTTAAAATAAAAGAAAATGCTTACTACTTTTTTTTTAAGAGCTGTTTGAGGACAGCCCTAAATTGTCTGAGAAGAACCATCCTGGCACTAATGGCATACACTGAGAGCAAAAAAGTACATCCTGTCCATGCCGCGAAAGCGTTGCGCATCTGATGTCTACGTGTTGTTTCGTGGATTCACTCTATCTTCTTGCGGCCAATGCTTCATGCATGCCAACTGGAGTTAACGCAAGTTACACCCTCGCTCAAGCAAAGTTTATTTGCACTGGATCAATGCAACTGTGGCAGATCGTGTTCCGCCCACCCAGTCAAACTTTCCAGAAAGATGTACAGAGTTGTTTTAGTGTGTCTCCAACATAGTCTTTTTCTAATGTATTGCAGTCAAGTACACAAATATGTACGCAGTATCCAAAGATGACGTGTATTGTGCCTTCTTTTTTTCTTTTCGTTTCATAAGTTAAAAGTGAAAGGTTTATGTTTGTTCTAAACCAGATGGAAAAAAAAAATAAAAAAAAATATTTTGCAAAAGGTTGTTTTAGTTTGAAGCAATGCCGCAACTGCAAGTTATTAATTTTTTATTTGTGATTTTTGTAGCACTTCAGCTGCGACGTGTGCTTAAGGTGCATAAAACACAGTAGTGTTGTCGAGGGCAGAAGCTCGAGCTAGAGGTGGGACAACTGAAGCTACTGTCGGCCGCAAGAACTGGCAACAAAGTTTCGCTATACATTTTTCAATTTTTTCATTAACTCAAAAGCTTGCGCTTCCTCGAAGCAACACTCGCCTCCGATCTTTCGCTCATGATGAGGGAGTGATCACGGTCGCGACAAAGCTCTGCCCCATAGCTGTCTGCTCCTCGGTGAGGACTTGAAAAAAAAACATCTCTGCCATTGTCACGGTGTGACGTACATATTGTAGGCAGGGACGGCGCCAAGGGGAGGTGAGGGTGGCGAGCGCCTCCTATAAAATTTGTCCTGCACCCCAAAACACACCCACCACCACCCCTCATTTTGGTGCGCACACCCATGCGCACTACATGGCTCGTCAGTTTTCTAATTTCCTTGTTCCATGGAAAAAGCATTGGCTGGAAGGACGCCCAGTCTTAAGAGGCCCCATTGTGGACGTTCTATTTTCTTTCCGTACTCTGTGAAGAATGAAAGAGAGATGAATATTGGTATCGCTTGCTGAGGCTTTGGAGCATCTTCTACCACTCGTCTGGCGCCGGCCAAAGAACGCCATCTGAAAGGAGCATCGCCCAAGGGATTACTCGGATGGACTTCAAATCCCATCTGCACAGCACCGTTGCTTTGGACCTGGCAGAAAAAGGAACCCGTGGGCACTGACCAACGAAATTCCCCAAAGTCTTGAGACGCTTGCTGCAACTGGCGCGTCCGCAAAGGGGTGGCTTCGATGCGTTGAGGTCATCCTACTTATTCCAAGTCTTTGGCTGTGTATGACGGGTCCTTGAAGTAGCTTTGATGATGGCGACCGTGTGCCTGTCTGTGTGCTTGGGAAAGGGTATGGGTTGGAGCCTGGCAGTTCGAGAACTGCCACACTTCCATCATTAGTGACAATAAGGAAGAGGAAAACGTGTAAATATAGATAGATAGATAGATAGATATTTATTTGTACATTTAAGTACAGGTCGCATAGAAGGCGTTTCCGCCCGTACACATATGTGCCTATGTGGCCAGCTGGACGATGATGGCGATGCGAGGCTTCTTGGCTTGAGAAGTGTGGGACGATGATGATGGGATGGTGAAGAGGGTGAAAAGTGAGGTGGGTGACGTATGATGAGGTATGCAAGACATCGTGGGTGTTTAGAGGTGTTTGGCTGCTGCCTTGCAGAACTGTGTCACCTCGTCTCTGTCTGTGATGGGCAAGCTGGTGATGGCGTCAGGCAGGGACCTCCAAAGTCTCACAGCCCGGAGGAGACATGAGTTGTCGTGCCGTTGGGTCCGAGCGAAGAGAGGGTCTATGCGCCCGGTTCGTTCGTTGCGACGGGGCACAGAGCGAAGGTAGTCGTCCTGCGAAATCCCAGGACCAATCACCTGAGCCAGCAACCGTAGGGTGGCTACATCTCGCTGGCGGGACAGAGTACTCCACTTGGCTGCTCTCAAGAGCTGGGTTGTCGAGATGTCCCGTGGCAAAAAGCGAGGACTTGGAGAGGTTCGGCAGTAGACGCCGTAAGCTGCTCGCCGCTGGATGGTCTCTAGTGTCGCCTGAGCTGAGGCTCCCTGTGGCGACCAGATAGGCGAGCAATACTCTAATAGGGGCAGGACCAGTGCAGTGTACAGCTGCGCCAGCACAGCAGGCCCCAGACCCTTACTGATAGTTTGCACGAATCCCAGCATCCGCCGTGCACGTGAGGCGACGGAGTGGACGTGTGCAGTAAAGCTCAATTTGCTGTCAAGGGTGACACCCAGCAGGGTTATGTTCTCCTTTTGTTCCAATGGAGTTCCATTAACAGTTAAAATTACTGGTGGATTCTGTGCTTTCCTTTTTGTGGTGAAGTGAATTGTAGCAGATTTTGATGCACTCAGGGGTAATTTGTTTCTGATCGTCCAGGCTTGGATGTGATCAAGATCTTGTTGCAGTTGTTTATAGTCTTCCTGGGATTGAATCGGTTGAAGGAGGGTGAGATCATCAGCGTACATGATGGTGGCGGAGTCTATAACCTGGACGATATCGTTGATAAAGATTGAAAAGAGGGTTGGACCAAGTACTGTGCCTTGAGGGATTCCAGATTGAACGGTTCGGGATTGGGACCTTGACCCGTGGAATGTCACACTTTGTTGTCTCTGCAGGATGAAGTTAGATAGCCAGCGAAGGAGGGGACCCTCGATACCGGTGCTTTCCAGTTTGGTTATCAGGAGCTGGTGGTCTACTTTATCAAACGCTTTGGTAAAATCGAGCTGTACCAGTTCGCATGGCGTGGAGTTGTCCAGGCTGTCACTGATCTGGTGAACAGCAGTGAGCAGGGCAGTTTCACAGCTTCGACCAGGGCGAAAGCCATGCTGCGCTGGAGACAGAAGAGTGTGGGCGTTCAAGTATCTGTGTAGGGCAGAGTTTAACACTCGCTCCATGGTACGGCAGACGACTGATGTTGAGATTGGTCTGTAGGATTCTGGCTTGTCTGCTGGGGATCCATTCCCTTTGTAGATGGGAGTGACATAAGCCTGCTTCCATGGGGCGGGGACGCACCCAGTGTCCAAGAGCTGCTGGAACAGTCGGGCCAGTAATGGGGCTAGTTGTTGACCAGATGCTTTAAGGAGCGCAGGGTGGATGCCGTCAGGACCGGGCGACTGTGAAGGACTCAGTCGGGTGAGAGCCTCCTTGACATCATCCTCGTTGATAAGGATACTGGCTAAGCGGGGCGAGGAGGCCGACTGCGATGATGATGGGCAAGTTTCTGGTTGTGATGAGAGGCTGCAGGGTGGTGTCCATGCTGCGGCGAAGTGCTTGCTAAAAAGTTCCGCAGTCTCCAAGTCGCTCAGAGCCTTGCCGTCCTGGCATATGTTTAGAGCAGACGTGTTCTGTTTGTTACGCCTTACATAGGCCCAAAATATCTTTGGATCCCTTACAGCCCGTTGTGCCATGTCCAAAGCATAATCTTGGTGAGACTTTCTTATCTGTTTTTTCAGGTTTCTCTGGAGGGTGCGGGCTGCCTCAAGTGTAAAGGGACAGCTGTTTCGCTTTGCTTGTGCGAACAGCTGACGCTTCCGTCGGGCTTGGAGCAGTATCTCCTTTGTTATCCAGGGCGCTCGGGGTTTGTTTCGGCTTTTTCTGGAGGGGACGCATTCAGCTTCGATGGCGTGCATAAAGTCGAGCCATATGTCATATGGGTCTTCATGGTTGTCTTGGAACACCATGCCCCAAGGGGCGAGGTGTATAAGCGAATTCAGGTGGTGGTTAGTCAGTGCTGCGTGTCTTTTTCTTTTGTGTGGGTGTTGACTTGAGACTGTTTTGTGGGCGCACTGTTCTTTGTGTACGTAAGGAGAAAAGTGGCCAGGATAATTCAGTTGCCCTGCACCCGGGTGCCATAAAATAGCCGTAGATCTAGTACACTGTACCGTGGGAGATATTTCGTGCTTGATTCAAGTTGTTCGACGACGCAGATTCTGGAAACCCGTCGTGAACGGTAGCCTCATCTTTGAGGGCCCGGAGAAAGTTCTACAAAAGCGCAGCACCGGGGGAAAGCAGCGCAGCTCGCATCGAAAGCAGACTCCGTATCGGCGTCTGCTTTCGATGCTTCCTTCGATGCGACTTTCGATGCGAGCTGTGCTGCATTTCCCCGGTGCTGCGATTTCGTGAAACTTTCACCGGGTCCTCAAACTTTTGTCGAACCGGAATTTAAAGGCGCATTCACACTGAGCAAAAAACGCGCGTTGCGGTCGACGCCGGCGTCGTAAAATACGAAGCAGTCACACAGGGCCACCCGACGGCGGCGTCGTCTCGGGGAATCTCACGTTTGTCGAGAGAACACGGAATTTTTTTATTCGTCTGCTTCGCACGATTGTTGTTGCCTTGCCTTCGCGATTGCATATGCGGTGGGAGACAACCGTCTTCACTGAATGGACAACGGTGACGATTATATATACGTTTACACTCCGGTTATATGCTGCATTGGCGAAAGGCACGGACTCGAACGGGCAGCTTCAGGTGCTCTTTTGCCGCGTTTTTGTGCAAACAAAGCACGGTGCTACGCCGGCGCGTCCCAGAGCCTTCCCGTCCGTACATTTAACACTGCACGCAGCCTGTGCGAGAGTGTTTTCGATGGAGGACTGTTGTATTCCGTAGTGACGGGTGTACACAAAACTACACAACACATTGGGAGTGATCGCTCCCGCACAGTCGGAGGTCGGAACACACAGCGAACTTCGGTGGCAGCTTTCGCGGCAGCTTCGCGCAAACGATGAAGAGTAGCTTCACGGCGTCGTACACGCACATAAAACACTGCTCACAGTCAGATGTTCCAATCGGCTTGCCTCTTTCCACGCTGAAATGCTTCCAGCCACGTTTGGCGAGTGCACGAATCCCCCGAGCTCTCTGCCTTTTCGCCTCCATTGTGAGTCGAAAATAAAAAAATAGCGAAAACATGTCCTAACCGGAAAAGGGCGTACGTCACGTCCGGACGCTCGCTCATTGGCTCAAGCGCGCGCGTCGAGGGAGAAATTGGGCGCGTTAAGTTATGGTGAATTCCCCTCGCAGATCTCGAGCGCTCCAAAAACGCTCCATTTGGAGCGCGCATATTCCGCTCGCAGATCTGGCTCAAGTTGGTCATCTTCCGCTCGTAGATCTCTGGCAGCGCCCGCTCCACGGAGCGCCCCAAACTCCGCCGAACTTGCTCTGCGGGATTTCACGGATCTCTCCGGAAACTGACAGAGCGGCCCACGTGACTTCCGTCTGAATCGGCGGTGCGCATGCGCGGCGAGGTTGGAGAGATCGGCGGGCCGGTCGGTCGTGGAGTTGGATCTGTTCGGGTGCGTCGGTGTTTACCCTGGATTGGGTCGGTCGTGGAGTTGGATCTGTTCGGGTGCGTCGGTGTTTACTCTGGATTGTGACGGCTCGAACGCTTCTACCTCGCGTAGATCAGGGATAAAAAGCCGGGAATGTGGAGCGTGGCAACTCGTAAGCGCTGACGTCTGTGATCGTGAGAGGAAGAACGACAGAAAAGCCGGAGGCAGACGCAAGGTTAGGCCTATTCATTCCGCAGCCAGTGATTGTTTACCTTTTTACACTGCATTCCGTCGGCTTTTTCCCGTGAAATAAAGCAAGAAGTGGTTAGGAAACGACCGCGCAAGTGATGGTTTGTTACCTCTGTGTTTAGTAAAGTCGTACTACAAATATGAACTCCACGCTGGAAATCGCTGTCCGTGCCCCGCCGCTTCGAGGCGGCCGAAAGGTATGTGACGGTGCCGAAGGCGGACGTCTTCGTTATTTGTGACATGGGCGCCGCGGTATGTATAATTTCGCCCGGCCTGTGTCGCGTGTTACTTCTGCAGCTAAGCAGTGACAGTCGTCACTGGTCGTTGGAAAGATAGCCAGCTGCGTTGGTGGCAGGTCAAGTTCAAGCAGCGGCCATTTTGTACGGCGGAGGGAGAAGGGGTGGGGAGGGGGTGTGGGGGAGGTCGCTCCAAAAATGCAAGTTTATCTTCCCCTCGTCGATTCGGAGCGGGTCCCACGGAGCGGAATTTTGCCTCCCTCGCGGATTTTGGAAAGCGCTCCAGATCTACGAGTGGAATTCACCATTAGTGAGCTCCAGACTCCGGACATCTGCGCTCGAGCGCGCGGGTTCAGAGCGTAGCTTAACGGCGCACTTTGTTACCGAGGCGCCATCTTACGCCCATTTTTTTAACGTTTCCGGTTCCGGCTTTTCGGCGCGCGTAAACATGGCTCCCGTAAAAGTGTTTCTTCGACGACGACATCGATGAAATAAGTGCGCGGAGACGGCGGCGACAGCCAGAGCTTGTATTTGTGCTGCACGCTGTTGGTGCGGGTATTATAGGTACGCCGAACGCCTTCTGAATTCCCAAAAGCCTTAAAGAAAGATGGCTGAATTTATTGGCTCGCCTAATCCTGAAATTACGGTAAGGTACATAAAGAACTTCGACAAGCATTTCAAGGATGTATGCATACCTTTCTACACCAGCACCATGCTTTTTTCTTCTTTTTTTTTTTTTATTTTTCACGATGACGGAGCGATTGCACAGCTGCCAAGCGATCGCCGTGGCAATATCCACGCATCCAAGCAGGCGCGACTTGAGCGTCCGAGGGAGTCCCTAAACGCTTCGGCGCAAGCACGAACGACGCCGAGAGGTCCGAGCACTGCATGGTAGCGCAGAACGAGCAGCTCCTACCCACGACTGGCCTACCTCGGTGCCGTTCCTGGCTAGGCCGGAGCATTTCGGCCGCGGGGTTCGGTTGGTCCGGTCGCGATCGGCGAGGTTTGGCGAGGCGAGCGTGGTGGCACCCTCGGAGCGTTCGGAAGCGAACTCGCTCGCCAGGTATTGCGCGCACCCGACGCCTCTGGTCCAGAGTGGCCCGGCGGCTCGGCTGGCTCGGCCCTGAGCCCAAAACGCTTGGGGTTTTGATGTTTCCTTCGTCTCGTACGAGACCACCGCCACCACCGTGACCACCGCCGCGTGAAACCACCGCGAGTAACCCAAGTAACCGCGAGACTGGCCGCGAGAGCGGAAACGCCGTCATATCACCGGAAACCGACCTGTTCGCGCTCCCGCGCACCATCTCCGACGACGGAGCTCGCGGAGCGCGCTCCGCCACCGTGCACCGGAAGTGAGACGATGCCGTTTAGTTTAGCTCGAGTGCACTCTGACCGCTGGAGCGCGCTCGAGCGCGTTAACTTAACGCGTCGTCCTCCTCGGCGCGCGACTTTTTTCAATACAAAAATAAGCAAAAAATTCCCCCCACGACGCGCGTCTTTCCGCTGTGTGAATGCGCCTTTAGGTCGCACTAGAGCACTATATAGCTCCTACGGAGCAGAGTAGCGCAATCCTTTGAACTCCGTGTTTTGCCGACAACATGGCCGACAGAGCGGCTCGGCGCGAGTCACGTGGTACTCAGGGTTCCAGGAGGCGGCCCGCCCTATGGGAGAATACATGGAGATCGACATAACACGGCTGATTAAAAAGTGAACGGCGAGTTCACACTTTTCAAAACTAGTCTGTCATGAAGTTAGTAAAGCACTAAACACTTTATCAAAGTTTTAACAATATCGGATGCGTGTGAAAATTTTGAGAAGGCAATTTCCAAGGCAATGGCGTTTGAAGCAGACGATTTTTGCTCGCAGCGGAAATGGGCTTTTCGGGTTGGCCGGAGCGGGTCACGTGAATGGTGTGACGTCGCCGTGTCGTCTGCTGCATGATGCCTCTCAGGCAATTTTTAAAAAAAAGTCAGGTCCTTGCGGGGCACAAAACTTAGCGCAAATTATTCTAAAGTGTTCCATTATTATGTCAAAAATGATTGCGATTTCGTACATTCCCACAATACTGGAGAAACAACGATTTTCTCACGTTCTGCATGCATTTCTGACCGCAGTTGGAACCTCCGGGCGTTCGCCGCTAGTCGCCGAGAGGCGGCGTTCTAGATTGCGCTACTCTGCTCCGAAGGAGCTATATAGTGCTCTAGGTCGCACTTTCGTGGTTCGACTGGGTCGAACCGGTTCGACGAACCTTCGAACTTTTCACCAGATTCGACCGGTTCGACTTTTGTGGGTTCGACTTTTGTTTGTGGACAGTGTGGCCAGACCTTGATACAAGCAAGTCTAGGTTTGGAGAATATTTTTTTATGCAAAGGGTTATTTTATTTTATGAACAATTGCAATTAAAAGAAACCAATTCTAATCGCTGAAGAAGTTAATAACTTAATTTTTTGTAGTGTATTAACTGAAATGACCCAATCAGCGCCGCCCTTAATTCATCCCTTAGACATCACCATCCGATCCGAAGCCAACTGGTCAGCCTGTCGCGCATGCGCACACGAGTCGAACCTCAATGCAAGGTTCGTCGAACATTCCACTAAAAGTTCGAACAAGTCGAACCTGGTCGAACTCGAACCTCGGCCGGTTCGCGACACCCCTAGTGATAATTAGCGGCCACTTTTCCGCGGCGCCCGGGGGCGCCAACTACAAACTCGTATCGCGCCGTGAATATAGTTCTAAAATTTTTTTATTTTCTGTTGTGAATACGTTTTACGAATACCTTTTCCGATCCAGGTTGTTTAAAACAAGTGTTTTTTCCTTGTCTTGCGTTTGTAGATGTTGGAGATCTTACACAGTCACTTCCACAGGCCACCGGCGTTGTGTCAGCGTAAATTGCAACGTTCCCGGCACTTGGAACGAACACCACACATATCGTCGAGCTAATGATACAATAAAAACGAGCGTTACGATTCCTACGTGCCCGCTTTGTTTCGGTCACTTGTGAAACCGAAATCATTTTGACCAACGATCGTGTTGGGTCCGTTATTTTATTTTTCCGTATCTTAGATATAGTCTGAAAAAACCTATTCTGTTAAATAAAGTATTTATATTTAAATTTTTAATTATTTTATGTGGTTTATAAGATTATCCAAACCAATCCGAAATACACTGAGGTTCGGCCGTCCTTCCGAAACTTTCCGACCTGTTTCGGAAAAGGCAGAAAAGGTTTCGCCGGTTTCGTCCTATCACTAAAAGCGCTAAAAGACCGTTGGATGCTGTCTTGAATATTTTTGTTGGAACACTTGTCGGGCTCCGCGGTCTCTGTGGAAGAAGTTCATCTTTTGGTGTCCCTTGGTTTGCCGCCGTCTGCAGTGAATCTCGGTGAGCACCGCACGCCCTTGAAGCCCGTTTGCTGCTGCGTTTGTTTTGAAGCTTGAAGCTTTGAAGCTTTTGAAGTTTGAAGCTGCGTTTGTTTTGCAAAAAACTACTCCGTTTGAATGGGTGACTTGTCTCCCAGCTGTAGATGAGAAATTTAGCCAGTGCAGTACAACCGCTAGCGGGGGTCTTTAACGTGCATCACGCAGTAGTGATACACGACCGCACGCCGGTACGATGCCCATCCACATCGGAACGGGCAGGGGTGGTGAGCGCTTGTCTTGCAAGTAGCGTCGAATGCGCCAGTGCAGAACGCCCGCAACGCCCGTGTTGGAAGCAAATGGCGGCACTGTACCGAAATGAGCGGCCTTTGAAAGCAAAAGGAGGCGGAGACCTGTACAAACTTGTACTTGTCCTTGTAAAAAAAAAAAAAAAAAAAAAAAAAAACGTTTTTATTAAGGGGTTTTAGGCCACATTATAGCCTTTTTATGTGTTTTCGTTGGTCTTGGAAGTGGGGCAAATGCGCCGAGCGGCCCTTGGGGACCGCTCGGCGCATTTGTGGATGAAAGGTAGTATTGGGGCTGTGCCAATACTCTTGGGATTTGTATATTTGTGGACAGGAAATAATTCGAGAGAGAAAAACGCAGAGTGCATAAGATGCATAAAAAAAGACACCAAGAAAATCGGAAAAGACCACGAAATACTAATCGGGAGGTATGAATGCTCACTTGGAGGAATTCGATGGTTTCACAGATGTGACAGGAAGTATGTTACAGGAGTTATGCGTGGCCTTAGATTTGGTACTGTTAAATGCACAAATCAAATGTGAAGGAAAAGTAACATAAGAGAGGAACAACACTCAATCGACGATAGACTACTATATAACGTCCCGCAAATTGTACAACAGAATGGGTTGCATGGAAAGAGACCAAGAAGGAATGAAAAGCTTAGAAAGCGATCATAAACAAATTAAGGTTAATTTTGAAAGGACAGCAGAAACGAAAGCAAGAAGACAAGAAAGGTTTTAGTGATACAGCTGAAGAAAATATAAAAATGAATTGAGGACATAGTAGCCACACAAGCAGATCAATATTGTAATCATACAATGAATTAATAGAAATATTCGAAAAGGAGTTGGAACAAAACCAAGCCAGATTTAAGAACAAATGAACACACAGACCAGAGAGCTGGTGGGAGAAGGAAGCCACAGCAGCCATAAATCAGAAACAAAAGGCATCCAGGAAGCGGGAGGCACTCACCTGATCGAATGACATTTTAGCGAATGCCCACGTTTCACCGAATGACTCTTTAGCGAATAGTCGGACGCCGCGAAGCGGCGTTCCGACTATTGGCTAAAGTGTCATTTGGCCCACCCGAAAACGCTGCGAAGCGGCGTTTTCGGGTGGGCCATATGGGTTCAGATTTTTGTAATGAGCCACCGCAGACTGTTGCCGGCGAAGCGGCGTAAGCGCAGCACGGCGGATGGGTTAACGTGCGCCCCCGTTATTCGCTAAAACATTGATTCGCTCAAATGTCGCTGTTCGCTAAAACGTCATTCGCTCATGTGATATGGGCCCCCAGGAAGCATTGACGAACAACAGAAAGGGGGTGCTTCTGCAGAGGATATAGAGGAAAAATGGAAGGACTCCCAGGAAAAGAAATCAGCAGCATGTGCTTTGATCCAGGACGAGATTGGAAAAGACAAAATGAAATGCGCGAGGGAAATAAATGAAATGATAGAAATGGAGCCAAGAAGTTTTGGGAGCACATAAGTTCACAGGGTAGAACGAAAGATGCATCATCACTCATTAACTACTGGTGATGGGACATAGGTAGTAGAGGAGGAGGCATGCCAATATATTACGAGCATAATTGAGAAGACTATAGCTATACGCACTCCAGAGTGCACTTCGGACGGATATGGCTATACGCTCTCCGCGGAGAGCTCATGCCGCTCGGGCCACCCTTTTCGAACGGCACATGTATCACTGGGGAGCTCGTTAACACAGCCCCCCGCCTGCGTTCACGGCGACAGTATTCAACTGCTAATTGGGTTGCTGCTGCTTGGGTTGCCGCTGATTGGGTTGGTTCAACTGCTGCTTGGGTTGCCAGCCCTAAGCAGCAAGCCCCGCTGTCCCCTATCGCACCTCCGGAAAGGGAGTCCCATGCCATTTAGTTCTGCGAAGTTTCGTCAACAACGTTCGGTTTTCTTAGTGTTCATTGCGAAAAAGAAATGTCGCAAATATTGCCAAATGCCTCGACAAAACAAAATGTTCAAGAAAAAAAGAAAAAACAAAGTAGGCCCACCGCGGATCGAACCTGCGTCCACTTGCGTATAAAGCGGACACCTTAACCCCTATGCTATGCCATCGCTCAGAAAACTTGTTGTGACCATTTGTTTTATACGAGTTTAGCGGAGTGCGTATAGCCATTTCCGTCCGGAGTGCGTATAGCTTTACTCAATTGAGAAAATGTTTTCAGATCTAGAGCATTCAGAAACCATGGAAAGAGTAGATCGTAGTGACAGCCAACCAGGCCATTATTTTACTTAAAGTTGTTTGAATTGAATGTGTACTGTTATCGTAAATCTTGGCTTCTGATTACGCCTTTGTAGATCATCTTGTTCGTTTTGCTGGAGAGACACAAACGACGAGTATAACAAAATCGTTTGCATATTCCGCATACCTCGCAAAAGAACTTCCCCAGTCATCTTGTGAAACACTGAGTCCGCACCGTCCTGACTTCCCAGTCTTTTACCTGCTTTAGTGCAGTTTGTACCTGCTAGTAGGTATGCCTACTGAAACTGCAACTTGGGGCAGTGCCACAGAGGAAAGAGACAGTGTTCGGCAAGCTTGGTCACCCACCCCAATTTCTGAACTCTCAAGTGATTGCACCATATTAAATGCACCGCCTCTTCTTGAAATAAAAAAAAAGCACTATGTTCACTACATAAAAAATTGTCTCGGTTCATGCATCTGTGGGCAGGTAGGAAATCTGGTCCAAATTTATTCACACTGCATGATGAACACTACAAACTTGCACGAGATTTACAGGAAAATATTGGTGGTGACATAAGTTTCCCTGAAATTCTGTATAACCGGTCGTTTGCGAGACCGAATCATCTGCTCAAGCAGTGTGCGTCGTTGTGCAAACACGTTGCTGTCTAAAGGCAGTCTAACAACACCAAGCATAAAAACGGCAGATTTAGGACACAATCCGGAGTTCATTGTTTAGTTAAAATGATGTAATTTTGTTGAAAATGCCCCACAGCTTTTTACTCACGGTATGTGTCAGGAATCCTCCACATTTTGAAACGAAATGAAGGAATATTTACTTTTGAAAATGCTCGCTGCATCCTATTGTGCCGCTGAGATTCCTAGCACTTTACGGTGCGAAGAAATCCGCCGGTGTGTCGGCATACGTCCCCAAAATAGCCCCATGCCGTCAGAGCATATAGCCCCAACTTTGACTTCCTTAGCCCACCCCATTTTGCATGTTTTGCCGTGACACCATCACCGTAGCTCCCGCGCTTGCACCGATCTAGCCTAGGTTCTTCGCTAGCCAAGGATGTCTCAGAAAAGTGTCTTGTGCCTATGCTGTAAACAAGAAATTTAGGAAGAGCAGCACGACTGCTAGCCTGGGTGTCTTTCACTTGCATCGCGCAGGAGCGATAAACAACAGTGTGCCGGTACGGTGCTCACCAAAACCGAGACGGGCAGGGGTAGGAATGAAACTCCCGGGTTTTGCAGCAAAGCGAGCCTGGCTTCATCGTCCTGTTATGTCCTTTGCAGGAGTGACTTCGAGATCTGCCTACGGGAGGGAGCATGTCGCCCCGGAGGAGCCGTAGGCTGGTGCGGCAGGAACGAAAACTTCCTGCCAAACTACTGGAAGAAGATTCTGCCGGTACTGCTTGGCCTATGCTTCTGTGTCTGGGAGAAGGAGCAGATTAGTTCATTGGAAGAGGGAGTAAAAGAAGCAGAAACAAAAATGTGGGATGAAAGATTGCCAATTGGCTTGACCAGTGTACAGGTCATGACAATGGGATACAGGAATGCCTCTCTAATATGAACATCTGTTTTCTACCCAAATCATTCATAATGTTGGTTTTCTATGATAACGAGTGCATGCATGAGCACTTTTGCACACGAAATATAGCCCACTCCTGAGGCCCTAAACCCTTCAAACACAAAGTTGGAGCCGAAAGTTTGCAGAGCGCGCCCATTTGATGTTGGCGAAAAAAGCCCAAAGTCATTGTCGTGATACGCCACTCCGTGCGCTCCGTGAACTTCGACCCCAATTTTTTGTTTGATGAGTTTAGAGGCCCTAGTAATCGCATTGTGCGGATCAGTGATGACCATGGCATAAATGTGTCTAGTTATCTAAGGTGGGATATAAGCGAACATTGCTGATAGGGAAGTACAGTCATCTTTTGCTTCATTGCCCCTTACCGCAATAACAAGTTTGACAAAGACCTATAACCTAAAAGTGGCATTTATTAAACTTTTCTTGATTGCATACCGAAAAATAGCCCACTCTTCATTTTCACCCAATTTTCTTTTGATTTTAGGTTGGCTATTTCTCAGGATTTCATAGTATTAATATTGAATTTGCTTCAAACCCAAAATTTATTATTTTCAGACGCCTAACGAAGAGTTGCCGATTTTTGTGCGAACGGTGCTCACATCGATCGCATGAATAGGCAGCGCCACTTATTGTGATCAATTAGAGTAGCTATGTGCTCCGCTTAGCTGCTCTAAGAACAGCAGCAGGTTCACTATGAGCAAGGGCAGCTTGAGGCACATTTAGCACAAATGTATCCGTTTGATGTCTAACTTGCGACAATTACCCCACCGTGATACAAACCTTACAAAATAGCCCAAAACATATTTTTTACATCAAACACAAACCGAAAAGGACATCGGTACTCCTAATAGGTTAATTGAGACATCCAGAAAATTACCGCCGTACGATTGTTCAAGAAATAAATAATTATCTGAAGTGGCCAGGTCCCATGTAGGTATGATACCTTAAATAGTTTCCCAACACTTCAACAACTGAAGCTTTTTACACAAGCTAATTTTTAAAGAGATTTATAAAATTTTTTGACATGAAGGCTTCAAACTCTGTTCCAAAACCCATTGTTTCCTGCTACAAGAGCTGCTCCAAATCACCATTTGTCAGTTCCACCACTGCAGGTGGCTGCTTGTGCCAAATTGTAATCACCAGCACCAAGCAACCTCGCGTGCCTGCTTTCGCTGCCGCTCCTCTTTACCGAACAGCGCACAAACACACTACGCTGCAGATATTGTTAAAGTTTGGCGATTTCCCTTGCCATAATATTGGCCATAAACGCAAACCCAAGTATTCACTGGTAGGCCAATTGTTACCGAGGGCAAGCAAGTGTGGCGCAGGGGTTGCGCCTAGTCTGTGTGTATTGTTCGGAATAGTTTGAACATAGGTAGATTTTAACAAGGTCTCAAAAAGTTTCCGAAAAGAGAAAACGAAATGGCCCTCTCTTAATTTCAAAATTACGTGGGAATTCATATTTCTTAATTTTTTTACCGTTCCATTACGCGGTCCATTTGAGGGCTTTCCACAACATAGGGTAATGCCGGTCGAGGCGTCCGCGATTTGTTTAGGGCTGGTTGGGGTGCCATAAGAAAAGTTCCTAAGGTCCCTTCAATGTTTGTGCTTATTTTAAATTCGCTCGTTTGAATCAGTAAGTATGACGTGACCCGACCTCGCTGCTCGTTCTGCCAAGAGTTGGCAGAAGCCCGATCTAAACGAAAAAAACCGAGGATGATGTCGACACATTTTGCTGAGTCCGTTTTCTCCTCTTCCCCCACAGCAGTGTGCTGCTTCTGTAAAAAAGCACAAAGCAGCATCGTCTGCGACAAGTTGCTGAACGGCAAGATCACCGCCCACTTCTACTGCCTGGTGAGTAATGCCACTGCCCGCACTCTCTGGCGCTGCATTGTGCGACATCCAGTCCTGGACTCCGTCGGGTGAAGAATTGCTTTTCCAGTATGGCGATATCCTCCTGCTGGTGCGCTAGAGGCATCATACATACTCCATTTCACTTTAAGGCAAACCGCAGCGGATGTTATGAGCCATCCTAGCATAACTGTGTGTGCTTTGCTCGTGGGGCAGAGCATCGCGATGGTTTCACATTTTTTCACTCCGAGTATTGCAGGAACCCCATGACGCACGGGAAGGAGTGCCGTACTGTCGGTCGTTCTGGTGCTCGCTTGTGCACGACCACTTTGAAATGACGATTGCATTATAAAAAGAAAGAATGCAATTACACGTGTCTAAACGGCACACATAATGTCTCGAGGTTCAAGGTGCCTTCTGCTTGTCAGTTCTGCGTTACAGTATCTACATTTCACAAATGCAGAGTGAAAAATCTGTCCCGTCCTAAACCCCTCCGTATCATCCGCTGGGCCTCCTGCGATGACAGTACCTGGGTAGGCTCCTCAACTGCGTCGTCGAAGTCGTTGCTCTCACCGCTGTCCGCAGCACAAACACGCGCGACGATCGCCTCATCACTGAGGCACTCGGATGTTTCCACAACATCGTCTCCATGAAGGAAGTCGTCCAGACCCGATCTTGGATAGAATGCGCCGCTGGCGGATCGGGCATGACGCCCCGTCCGCAGTGAATCGTAAAACGAAGTTGGAGAAAGATAGTCAAAGCAGCGAGCACACAACAGGCGAGTGAGCGAGCGAGTGGCGCGACCGGGCGCGCGGACAAGGCCAAAGCGGCGGCTCCGGGAGGGGAGTTTGGAAGGAAAGCTGGTCCTCCTCTCGCTTCCTTCCTAGTAAGCGGCGCAGTCGACTCGTTTTCTGAAGGGTGGAAGAGATGCGTGGTGCGGGGCGCAGCATGCCGCGTAGAGCCGGCGGCGGCTGGCATTTTCGGCGCATGCTGTAACTGGAATCAATCGCTATATCCGATATCGCAGCCCTGGGGCATTGTTATAAGTGGTTTATTTTACCATTGAAAGCATATAAAAGTGGACGGTGCCATCGTTCTTCATCGTTATAACCGATATATTGTTATAAACGGAATCGTTATAAGTGGACTCGACTGTACTACTAGAAGCCCGTTAAATGGCATGTAAGCAGTGTCTCGGTAAAGATGATGGCCCAAGCCCGGGGGGGGGGCACGAGCCCCGATGCCCCTCCCCCCTCCCCCCTCCCCGAAGTCTACGCCTATGACTTAGAGTCATCATTTAACATCACATCTACTACGGACGAAAAAGAAGTTGAAACGAGGTCCGTAATGATGATGTCTCCTGTATGCCATGGACAAAGAAGAAGTTGTTGGAACCAGCACTGCAGATGGAGAGAAGGACAAAGCAAGCGTTTGGTTGCTAATAGCTAGTCGGGCTGTTCCTAGACTCACCGTAGCCTCCTCTATACTGACAAAGCCTTACAGATCGCCACGAGATGCGGTTGCCGAAAGTGAAAATGTAGAACGGCAGACAAGAGGCATGTAACGGGCGCCCCGCTGCGGCGAGATGCCGAAACACAGTTGTCCCGAGCGATGGAATGTTCGCTCGCGTTCCTCAAGGTACCGCTTCTTTTCTCGTCAGGTTTGAAAACCGTGTTTCGGGTCCTCGTCGTTGCAAAAGCTGTGCGCTGAATACCAGAAATGCTCTCTGCTACCAGATCCTCTCACTCTAAATCTGCGACCGGGCACTCTATGGGTCCGTCGTCGAACTGCCAGGATTTGTGAGCATAGAGGGGGCTATGGCTGCACTGATGATGTCTCCTACATGGGAGACGAAACATCTAGTCATAAATTGTTGACATTGTTATATAAGTCAAGGTATTTGCTTTGTAATCATGAATTCCAGCTTTTGGAACATTTTTGCATTTATGAGAACTAATTGATGGAAAGAAAAAATTTAATATCAATCTAAACCGGTTTTTTGTTGTTTGCCAATGCCCAGTGTTTTATGGTACTGGCCATTTCACCAGTACATATTGTAAAACACCATTAAAGGGGAAAAAAAAAAAAAAAAAAAAGAGCCCTTGGAGAACCGGTTTGACTTAGAATGGAGACAAGCGGTTGGTATATTGTTTTCTTAATAAAGCCATTCAAGGTTGTTATTTTATTTTTTTTTCTTGGAAGAAAGGAGGTGGGGAGGAGTGCACTCATTCTGGCAGTTAGGTACCGTAGCCTCACTTTCCAGGAAAAGGAAACCGGCCACCGGATAGCCGGAAAAACATGTTTTTTTGTATAAAGTTCGTCAAAGCATTAGGCAGTGGAGAAAATTGGCCATCTGCATTGAGTCCTTATTTCAAATTCTTTTTGATCATGTTCCGCCTATTAAAAAGCCCAATGAAGGAGCCAAGCGGACGCCTGATCTCGTCACCCTGCCGTCTCCTTCCGCGCAATAAAGTTTGCCCGCTATGGTCACCATGGCAATCAGCCATCTACTGTATAGATGCCTATGTGCTGACGCAGCATCTAAAGCTAGCAAGAGCAGGCTCCATTTTACGAACGTCGTCTGCTAATGTCAACGTGGCAACGTCAAGCTGGGGCTCCAATTCGGGTTCGCGAACAGACTGTGCCACACAAGGTCACCCCTTGCATTGCTCTGCTCCACATGGGAAAAATGGATGACAATCTCGGGCTCGAGCTTGCACCAAACCTCGTCGAAACCACCAAAGGCTAGGAAAGTGCTCGGTCCCCTCTTTCGGCGTCAGTCTCTGCACAGGCGAGTCCAGCGTCGACAAGAGCAGATGGTATTCGGAAAATGGTGCAGGCCCTAAGTTGTCTTCATATGAGTTCTCGCGCAAACGCAGCCTCTTGAGCCTGTGCCCTCGATGGTGCTGGGCACCACCAGCGAAGCGGTTTAGAGCAGTGAGCCCTGGAGGCATAGTATATAAACTAACAAGTGTCTTAATCTCTGTGTTTGGTATTCTTTTGCAGCTTTTCTCAAGCGGTCTTCAGCAGAGGGGTGACGTAGGTGGGCCTCTCATGGGTTTTCTGGAGGCAGACATAATGATCGAGCTCCGGAGAGGCTCCAAACTGGTGCGTGTTCTACAAGTTTTGAACTTGAATGTCGCAAACTTTTTGAAGGCCCAGCTGTCATTAAAAAGCTCAGGAGCACAAAGTAAAGTTCTGAACGCAAAGCTGCGGCTTGCTAAACCGTGCTTCTATCACCCAGGCATCTGTGCAGTGCTTTCAACAATGCTGGAAGCCTGCAAAATGTGAACTCCATAACGTTTCTCGACTTATGACTTTTGAGATGAAGTCCTTTTTTTCTTAAAGCTCTCGACTCGGGTAGACCAGTATAGGCTTCCAAGTGCTTCGAATCCTTAAAGGGATGGTGAACCGAAATTTGGATTAAAAAAAAAACAATGCTGGAGATGTAGGCGGGACTCTACAATCCCTGCAACACTACTAGTAAGGTAATATCTCAAATGGACGGCCGTATTTTTGGAAAAAGAAGTCGAGATTGAACCAGGCCGACGAGGCGCGTGACGTCAAGATACCTAGTTTCCTCCTCTCTTCACTTCGCTCCCTCAAGGCTGCAAGTGGAGAAGACACGAGGCCGTTCCCTCTCCTTCTCGGAGAAACATGATGTCAACATTCCTGCCAAATGTGCCTCTTTTTTTTAAAAATACAGTCATCCGTTCGAGATATCGCTGTATGAGTGATGTTTTGGTGTTTGTAGCATCCCGTTGCACGCATAATAAGAAGGCACGCAAACCTCGCATCTTCCCAACGGTGAAAAAAAAAAAAAATACTAACCTTGAACTTCAGGATGCTTTCTTCAAAGTTGTGGAACACTCATAAAGACAGTTAATTATCTGGGTCAATAAAGGTTGACTTTTTATTTTTTCACAATTTATGGATTTGCTTCAATGGGAGACTGAGGCGTATCTCTTTCTGGCCGCCTTTCATGCAGCGGTGTGTCTACTGCAAGAAGCAGGGTGCCACTCTGGGATGCTGCATAAAAATGTGCAAGAAGGTGTTCCATGTGGACTGCGGCAATGCCAGTGACTGCCTGCTGCAGTTTTACGGAGACTACAGGTGAGTTGGTCAACTCTGCTTGCCCATCCAAATGAAGGAAGTGCAAGCCGTTGGTCTGCCCAGTATGCAGACTGAGCGTCTCTCCTAGAAGGGTGTGCCAAAGTCACTAAGCGGCGCTTAACGCTTAGCTTTTCATTCTCCAATGATCTCGTGGGCGCCACCATTTCGGTGCTTGGTGCAGTGCAGGAGCAATAGACCCAATGTAATACGTGCGGCGCCACGGCGGCAAGGAATTTTGGGAACCCTCAATACAGATTGTGCGTTTCCACGTTGTGTCTGCAACTGCGCACGAGTCACGGCAGCTACCGCCAGCAGCCACAGTTGTAATTACGGACCTAAACCGAAACGATAGCTGTGGCATTTCCGTACCCGAGAGATGCGGAAATTAATTTTTCGGCCGACCCCTCCACCAGGGCCTACTGTCCGTACCACCGTCCCCATCAGCGGATACGACCCAAGGAGTCTGGCAGTACCTCCTGCCTGATCTGCGCCTGTGACATGGTGTCGGAGCCCTCCCCGCAGGTCCTTGTCACGCCGTGCTGCCAACACTCCTTCCACAGGGCCTGCCTGCAGGTGAGGGGGTCTTTCACGTCGCATCTTTGGGCGGGACTGTACCCCGGAGGGACCTGGAAGACCCTGGAGCAGTGTTTCGGCGGTCTTCTGAAACTGCGGTCGGGCTGCTCGGTTGTGACACGAAGGACACGGTGTTCGCTGTAGACACGACGACAGAGTCGTCGGTGGACGCACCTCGGGCACGTTCGAAGCATGTTGGTTTCGTATGTATGCACGATTCGGACATGTCTGCAGATGGTTTTTGTACAACCAGTGCAACAGGAACGTCATACAAAGAAGAAATTGAACAGTTTCAGAAAACTGTCTTTTGTATAGTGTATTAGCGGCATGACTGCGGCTTTTTGGTGGCGTCGTTTTGTAGCCCCCAGTGTCGACAATACGTGCCATTCAACAGCTTTATAACGAATGCGTTTACTACGCAAATATTCGAAGCAAAAAGTACCCGGCTAATTTATTTGTTCCATATGTTTCTCCGATTACAACGAATTCTTGTTTAACGAATATTTCTGTTTAACGAAGCAATTGTACTACCCTACAAAAGCAAAAATGACCAATACTACAAGTTTTCTTGGTAAAAGTAATAGATTTTGTATACATTGTCACGTTCAAGCAATGCGCGTAGAGAACAGAATTGCTGCAGCAGCGGTGACGGTTGGCAGCAGGGCTGCCAACTCGAGGGAAATTTCTTAGATTAAGGTAATATTTAGGTGTAGGGTAATAAGGGAAATCTTGTTAGTTTGAGGGAAATTTTGGGCACCATATATATCTGGAACGGTTTAGGTCAATTATGATTTTATTTCGAGATAAAATCTAACTTTAGCGGCTTTGACTACATTTAGGCGATTTCCCCCAACCATTTGACAATTTGTTGTGCAACCATCTGGAAAAGCTGAGGAGCACTCGAACGTTTTTCGGCAAAATCAATTTTCATTCGCTTTCATCGCCCCCGTGAAAGCTATGGAAGAAGGGATCAGCCAAGTGGAAGCTTCTGAGAGCCCCCCTGTGCCTTCTCGAGGAAGAAAGCCTGAGTAGACGGAGAAATACTGCAATGTCTGGAGATACAGACTTACCATGACTAATAATATTTCGTGAAGTGCCGTGCACGAAACTGTAGTTACTGTGTGTCGTGTTCCCTGGGTTTGAGTTTTGGAACTCTCGCTTGTGTTACACCTTTTGTTTTGTACTGACTATTAAAAAATTGCCATTGAAGTTATTAGGCAGTACCATGTTCTGATGGCGTGCATTACATCTAAGGTAAATATAGGGTTTCATTCGTCAGTTTGAATCTCCCAGTAAAACTTTCCCTCTCCAGATTTTGCCTTGGCCACAATTTTGGTCCGATTAACTAATTTTTGCGAAATGCACACATTGCATAAAGGCTACATAATATGTCCCTCATTTTAAAAATGTAAATAATGCAAAAAGAAACAAAGATATTTAGTATTATGTAATTATTTTGGCAAGCAAGGGAAATTTTGGCAGAAATAGAAAAATTTCAGGCGTTCGCTGGAGAAATTCTGACTTTCCGTGTTGGCAGCCCTGGTTAGCAGTGATGTCGCCGTGCCACAACCCCTCTGCCATCGCCGCACCGTGCATTCTCGGTTTTGTGCTAAATAATTGGCTGTGTGCAGCCTTTTGTCTAAACGGCACCCTGTGACTACGTTACTGCTAAGTAAGCCTGTACGCAGCAACGCAGTCACATAGTGCCATCCAGACCCGAGGTTGCACATTAACAAAATTTTTGAACCGAACCAAAACAAAAAGTATGGCGCATTGGCGGGGGAAGCGGCACGGCGGATCTGGCGCCGCCTCTGCCACACGCTCGTACATACTTCCGTTTACTTTCGTTTGGCTCGCGCCGTTGATTGAGGATGCACTACTCCGCTGACTGCTCCAAAATAAGTGTTTTTTTTTTCTTTGAAGCTTTGTTTGGGCAATGCATGCACTCGTTTCTTATCTTTCACATGTCTCGGTTCATTATGTCTCGGCTCATTGAAAAGGGCCCCTGCGAACAAGAGCATATATTAAAAATTATTTATTTTCGTGGGCAGTCACAACTTTTTTACGCTGTCAGCCGACGTGTCGATGTTCGTCAATCCAAGATTCCCGTTCTCACTCGATCAGAGTCATAAATTGCTCCATTTTGGAGCAAATTATGCAGTCAGGAGATTGGGGAAACGTGATCTGCGACTCTACCTAACTCCAAAGTCTAAGCAAAAGCAGTGGCCCTCTTTGTGCCGGACAGGTGTAAAAAGGGGCTCAGTCGGGTCAGTTGTGCTCCTCACTCAGTCCTCGCTGCACTGCGCACTGCAGCTGTTGTGTGCACATTATTGTGCAGTGCTGAGTGCGTTTCCGATTCTACTGTGCTGCCAGGGTCCATTGTAGCTATGGTAGGGCTGCTGCGTCCAGTCCTACGAAAGCAACGCAGCTGAGTGCAGCCCTAGAGCCACCTTCGAATGACAGATGTGCCGCTGCCTAATTTAGAAAAGTCCAAATTTACAGAGTCGGCAAACGCTTCTTTCCTGAATGATTGGATGCCGATGTCAGTGATTTGGTGATTGTAGCTATTTATACTTTGACTATTTATGCTTTGATAATTTGGTTAAGTTTGTTGTGTGGAAGTTTGGACAGCGTGAAATCACCCTGCAACAAGGAGTGCTCGGTGTCTTGGTGGTAGATGTCAAAGTGCCAGGAGTGGTAGTGGCGGTACGACCGCTAGCCTGGTGTCCTTAAATTGTGTCACGCAACAGTGAGTACACGAATTGGTGCCAATTCAATTTTCATTTAGAAAAAAACATGGTAATGAAGTTCAAGACGCCTGAATCCAGCAGTGTTCGACTACGTTGGGGTGGCTTTTTTTCTGAATGTTACTCTAGGGGATTTGATTTACTCCCGCGGGTTATATCGCGCAATGACGCAGATCGCAGCGCCGGACACAAGTAGATTTTTGAGCACCAAAGCACACATCTTTTACCCTGGAGAGCGATGGACTAAGCTTGGAACACGGCTCAAGTGATAACATCCTTCAGTCACTGACTTTCATGTTCTGTATGCTGCATGCCAAGCTACCCTAATGAAAATAACACTTAGCCCTGATGTGTTTTGCGTCCCTCTCAGTGTTTCAAACCCCTTCAGCTCATCAAAACCCTCAGTCCATCAGACATTCAAGCCCCTTCAGACCGTCTGACCCTTCAGTCTTCCAGACCCACTGAGCCCTTCAACCCTTAAGATGCCCAAATGACTGAACCATAACCCAAAAATGCAGTTTAAAATGTTATTGGAAATTCATTTCAGACATTTAGTTTCACATACATGTTGTAACTCAGAAAGACGATAAGAACCAACGTCTGCTCCAGCACTGGCTCAAGCAGCTGTGGACGAAAGTGATCAGACCATACGGGGACAACCAAGTTCTTTGTCGCAAAAGATATACTCTCTAGCTACTTGCAATGCCGCTAATGTCGCCGATAACACATCACTGCCGATAACACATTCCATCTCTTTCATGATCACCGAACGGGTATCGTTCTTGAATGCGGAAAAAGATGAGGAGAAACCTCCTCGCCTCTCGGTCGTGAGCCGCATCCGAGCGGAGGAAAGGAGGGAGGTTCCTCCGGGAGAGAGTGAGGAGGGCCCTCTAAGGTAGGGGACCCACCGCTTCACAAACAGGTTGGAGCTCACGGCGAAGGAGGCCGACTGGAAGTGGTACACCACATACTCGTTATTGCTGAAAAATATATGCGTGTAATCCATTTTTTATAAAATTTTTCGAATTCATGAATTTTGCAAAACCTAGGTTTTTAAAAAAATTAAGTTTGCAGTATTTCCGGAACAGGCTATGGGTTGACAGGTTTTATACGAGGCACGGATGTTACAGTTCCTCGTCATAACTCAACGCAAGTCCTTAATTCATTAATGTAGTGGAACGGCACTGAGAACGGGCCTCTGCCTACAAGGTGTATGGCGGAAGAATGTGCAGAAGACAAGCGATAAGCTGACAGGCTTATCGCTCAGAAGAAACGGAAAGTCGCAAAACATTCTGGCTTTTTTACAAAGATGCTACGCACAACAGTGTTCATGCTGTTGAGACATGAAATGTATACTGGGTTTGTCTGTGCAACATTGCCGTGAAGCAACACACGATACATTCAGCTTTGCGACTTTGCAACGATAGGTTGGAAAATGGGTGATTTTTTCGTGGACAGGTGAGGCGGAGAGTGAATCAGGTTTCTGAGGAATACCTTGTTTTCCGTTCAAATAGTCCTAGACTATGGGACTGTTAGCTTCAGAACAGTTTAATGCGAAGCTACAAATATTTCCTCCCACACTCGCAGAGAACGAAGTTTTTTGTTTCGATGATGCGTATGACCTTGGAGTTCATATGGTTCTTCCTAATGTCTCGTTTGCTTGCAGGCTCAGGCCTCGAGTGCCGGAAGCTACTTTTTCAAGTGCTGCACCTGTAACAACATCGATGCCTTCCAAAAGGAGATGTTAGACCACGGCATCTGCATTCCCGAACAGTGAGTGACATCCACATGCCCGTCTTCATTTTCGGGCTTTGGTGGAGCTGCCGGGGACCTGCTGACCTTTTGACCTCGAAGGTTTGACTCTCTCTGTGAATCCCTGGACATGTAGTGTGCTTACTCCAGGTATAGCGCATTGTTTGAGTTGTAGCCGCATTTCCTTTCTTTCTTTTGTGCTCGTGTCACTGGTACGCTTACAGTACTATTTTGCTTTGGGGTTCTAAAATTCGTAAAACCTTAGAAAGGACAAAAAGAAAAAGAGTCCAGAAATCTTGCTGGATATTTTGATTCTGGAAGAACTGTGTTGAGAAGGCAGAAGCGACACTTGACGTCTCTTATATATTGGAGTGGAAATGGCAAAGTGAAGAATGCGGAAACTGCAAAGCGTTCAGGCTGGCTCACACAAGTTGGTCAGCCTTTATTGATGACATTCATAATCAGCTGCGGTAGCTACCTGCAGCCTGTCATGTCCTCCCAGGGCATGCGAGGAGCCACTCATTTTGATTGACAGAGGGAGGGGAGGAAGACTATTGGTTTCACAAAAGTGCCATCTGTGCTCGAACGGGACTATGCGACACCAAATGTCCGGGAGCCTAAACGGCACTCTTCCCAACGCTCGACGAAGCTTTTTCGAACCCCTCGTCGACGTGGATTCTCTCTTCAGACTGCCACGGAACCGAGCAGACAAAATTGTCGACGCACTCGGCGCTTGGAATTGCGTTTGCTTCGTTACAAATGTTTTCTCGGCGCTTGGATGTATGTCTTCCCTGTTTTTACGAATACCGTCTCGCACGACGGAATAACCAGCAGTTGAATATGTGCCACGCAGGGATGCGTCGTGGGAGAGGGAGCAGGGGGCGTACCAAGACCTGCTCTACCGGTACCAAAGGTGTGACGCTGAGCGGTGCCGCTGCCCCATGGGACGGGAGGCGTCGTCAGAGGAAAGGTAGCCCCGCCCTGCCCTCGTTTCTCCAGCTTTTTTTTACGGTGACAGCATAGAGAACTCTATGCCATGTGCACTTTGCACACGTGCCGCCCCATGGTAATAGGCACAACACACGCTGGGTGTCGGTGTCTTCTACGTGATCTACAGTTGGCAGGGGCACTGCTACGTATTCCTTGCCGTAGAACCCGGTTTTCGTGCATGAACCACTCGTAACGGAACCCGTCTCGATTTAGTCTGCAGCAGTATGTTCCCGTTCTTGTGCATTTCAGTGACCGCAAGACTTTGTTGCGTGTGACATGCCGTAAAATACTGTGAAAGTGCCCACTTCATTCAAGCACCCGCTATTAACATTTCCCAAATTATACCTTAGTCGCCGGATTTGACCAGTCTAGGGCCCGCGTCTAGATTAACACTGTTTTTAGTGAAAGTGGGGTGGGTGCTCCCCCGTATTTTATGGTAGCAAGTAGCTGCAGATATATGCAGAAAAGTGGGTGTTACCACATGCCATAAGTGTTGTCACCGTCACTTTGCTCGCCGTGGTGAAGAGGTGCGGATATTTTCCTTTCCCGCTTCACCGCAGCTACTTCTCCCGTAGCTGTTAGTCACCTCCGTAGAGAGGCGAGCAAAACATGTGCTGTTTCCTCCACTGTAAATCAAGTTTTGGAGATTGGGGAAAAAAAAAACTTTGTTGCCCCGTCAACAGAAGTTTGAGTGCAAGCTGTCTATCGTTCCGAGATATTCTGCTCTGCATGCTCACAACTCGGGTGCATTCTGTTGCTTCTACGGTCGAGGTACTATCTAAGGTAAGGCGTTCGATCTGCATCTCCGTCGTGTCGGAGCGAGCATTTCCAGCCTGACTGAAAATCCCTCTCCCTTCTTTCTCACACTTTTTCTCCTCTCCAAAATGTTGTGGGTGTGTGACCTGATTGCAGCAGGATTTCTGGTAAGCCAGACTACCCTAAGCAGATAGTTAATTGGAAGGAGATAATCCCAGTGTTTTCGTTCATTCAGGGGTGCCTGATCATTCGTTTGGGAAAAAAATGAGTGGTTCAGGAAGGACGTGAGCCTGATTGAAGCACTTTTTATGAAAACCACCACTTGCAAACGAGTGAAAGTGGTGAAGCAACATGTCACAGAGGCAGACTGCGGACTGCGCTTATGGTCTGCCAAACTTGATTATTCATACCGACCACGATTTTAAATTTTTGTTATGACCGAACTCTGCTGGGTTGGTCATGCGATGGCGAGTGATTTCATGAACTTTGGCGAATTCATGATCCGATGGTTAGCGATATGTACTCTGATGAGTTCATGACGTAATGGTGAGTGACTTCATGAACTCGGGAGGTTTCACGATGCGATGGTGAGAGACTTTGTAGACTCGGATAAATTCATGATGGCGGTGGAGAGTGATTTCGTGAACTCTGATGAGTTTATGATGTGATGGCGAGCGACTGGGCTCCAGTGTGCCGACTTACGAATGCCGCTCTGTTTGTCGTCTGCAGTGGGGACTGGGAGGTGATCACCTGCAGCACGTGCGGGTCGCAGGGGATCCACAAGGCCTGCGGGAACCTCTCCAGGGAAGCCTTGCAGCGTGCCAACTCGTGGGTCTGTGTGCAGTGCCGGAAGACCCTTTCTCTGAGTGAGTCCGTTCGTCCCCCGCGTCGACGCCTACAGGCCAGCTACGGACCTTCCCGGAAAATCCCGCGAGACCTCTTTTCAACCCCGCACCGTGCTGCGTGCTTTCTGCCGTGTGTGGCTCGGTTTAGCCGCATGATGGCTTAGCGGCTTAGGCAGCTTAGCCGTTTGCCTGCAGCAGCGCGCTTGTTTTCTTTTTAGGGGCGAAGCTCCTTAGGGTCTAGCCTTGTTCGTCCGGTGTCTGTGCTCACATCGATTGCACTGCCTCCGGGATCGGCCCATTTTTTCAAAAAGGTATGCCCGCACGTGGGTTCGAACTCAGGACCGCTTGCTTACGAGGCAGACGTCTTAACCACTACGCTACACTCCAACGTTGCATGTAGCCGCTCAACGTCTATACAGGAGAGGGCACTGCGGTCAAATGCGTATATAATCGCGTTAAACTTTGCATGCATTGGCTCAACGTTTATAGACGAGAGGGCGCTGCGGTCAAATGCTCAACTGCATATATAACCACGATCTATACCACACATTCTCTTTCTGACATGGACCGTTGACGATGCGTTCCCACGGCTTCTAGCGGATCCAAGCTGATCCGCTAGAAGAACCACTGGCTCTGTATTTCACCGACCATAAAGCAGTAATAATGAAGTTGAAATTCAACCCGGAACTCAGCACTACCTATGAGCAACAAAAAAAAAATTAGCACCATCAGCACTACCTATGAACAATAAAATCAGTGTCATCAGCACCACCAGAGCTTCGCCCCAATGAACATTATTCACCACGTGGAGATGCGGCCTCTTTTTTCAAACTGTTCAAACAGTACATGCAAGAGATAAAGTGTGCGTTGCTGCAGTTTAATCTTGGTCAGCATAATCGAAAGGCTCTTTCATGCTCCTAGAATTACTCAAACTCTCGAGCGCCCAAAACAGGGTGTCTAGCAACCGGGAATTGTCAGGGATATTGTCAAAAAGCGAGCCCAGTCAGGGAAAATGAGCCTGAAACGCCATTGAGTGCCTTGAGTGAAGACTTGAGGACTTGGGGGCAGAAAAATAGGCAATAAATTCTGCTAAGAACGGAGCCCAGGCTCTGTTCACCCGATGTAGAGTGTGCTACCCGATGCAAAGGGAACAGCAGACAAACCCAGTCAAGCCCTGGATTGGATTGGATTGAGGGCACAGCACTAGGCTAAATCCAGCTACAGCTACTAGATTTAGCAACAAATAGGAATACGAAAGCCGCAGACCCCAATCCAATCCAAGCCGAAAGTATCCGAAAGTGTCCATTTGGCGGCCATGCTGCTATTCGGTTATTAACAAGGCGTGTGTGGTTGAGCGTCGTGTTTTCATCGTGTTTCTGGAAGTGGCCTCTTCACTGACAATGTCAGCGGCAAGAAAGGGCTCATGTAATCCAGACTGGACGAACCCGAATATTTTGGAGTATGCAAGTTGGATTAAGCCCGTGCAAAATGATCCTCACAGTGCTCAATGCTCAATGCCTTGTGTTGTAATGGTCTTTAATACTTTAACCGCCTCTACAGTGGTGAGGGAATTTCACCTGAATTTGTCAGGGAAAACCTGGAAAAGTCGGGGAATTTCGAAATAATAATTTGCTAGACACCTTAACAAAAATATCTTTTGCTTTAAGGGGGGACATAAGCATAAATTTCACATTTTGTTTTATTTTATTTTTTTTTAATTTGAGTTTTTTGGTTTTAGAAATTATACACCCTTACACGGAATTTGATAACCATACACCAAATAGTTTCGTTGACCTAAAATATTTTCAACACATTGTGAGGCACTTAGGTACTCAAAGGAGTTCAATGTTCGAATGCATTTTTCTCTGTACAATGGAATCTTTTGTTCGAAGGTAAAAGTATTCTGATATCACAATCAAGATGTTTCTGAACTGAAATTTACTCTGGAATTGGGCTATCAACTTTATTTTGTTGTTAGATGAAGTCCTCATTGAGAAAGAAACTATGTTTTCAAAAATTGACATATGACAGACATGAATCTCTTACTTTGAGGTAATGACTCGTTTTTATATATTTACATTTGAGTTGTAAAAATTAGATAGCCCAAAGTCCCACATCCCCCACTTTATATTCTTGCAGTCAAAATGTTGCTTAATAGGTTCATTTGCGTATCATAGATTTCTTAACAAAGAGTGACATATCTTCTCATGGAGATATGTAAAATTGTTGTAGAGAGCTGAAAATTGGCACAATACATGTACATCTTTTGTTAAATCTCCCCTGCAAATTTAATTCCAATCACTTCAGTTGTTCAGAAGTTAAATCTCTAGCCAGTGTCTCCCCCTTAACCAGACACAGAGGAAAAACTTTGAATTACTGCACGTCTTTTCCCGTAGACTTGTACAGTCAAACGCCTTTACAACGAATGCCTCTACCATGAAAATATTTGTTTAATGAAGTAAAATAAAGTCTCACACCCCTGCCTGTTTCGATCTGGATGAGCATCATACCGGCATGTGTTTGAGTATCACTATTGCATGGTGCACATTAAAGACCCCTGGCTAGAGGTTGTACTGCACTGCTGCACTGGCTAAATTGCTGATCTACAGCTGGGAGACAAGTCGCCAGTTAAGGCGGACTAAGTTCTAGGTCCTTCCCCGTGACATAAGAGTTTGTAGCGAACTCTCGTGTGTTTATCGCATCGTGAAGCGCGAATTTGTCGTTTCCGTGATTTCCTGTATCATTTCTTGTATCACATGGTTTGTAGCGGGTATCCCAGTGTTCATAATTAATTCTTATAGAATTTTGCTGTGGCATTCCCAAAGATTGCCACCATTAATCTCTTCATTTTGGGTGGGCATTCTTATGGAATTTTACAGTATGTTGATGCATACAGGCTTTCTACACAGCAACATATCGTATTTACTCGATTCTAAGCACCCCTTTTTTTTTTTCAAATCGGCGAGGCTTCACGAGTGGCGTGTGCTTAGATTCGGACATTAAATGTTACAAAATTTCAGCAAAGAAATGTTACTTTATTTTAAGTAAAATAAAAGGTAAAATAGAACACGGAAGATACAACAAATACGGGGGGTTGTCACTCTACTTGCCGACATAGCTCACAGCACGCCATGCAGCACACTTCACTCAATCACTTTCACTCGATGACGAGTCCTCCGTGCATCTGTCCGAGCTGCTGCTGCTTTTGTCGCCCTCTGTGTCTCACAAGAGGTCGTCCTCAGATCCGTCCAGACTGTTCATTATAAAACACTTTTTGAAGGACTTAACCACAAAATAGCTCCGCGACGCCAACGCAATCGACGCTCCTCGAGAAGAAGAAAGAACAAGCGCACAAACTTGCCTGCTCGTGCGGCTCGCGTCTGCACGAGCACGCAATTCATGTGTCGCCATCTATCCAGTGACGTTGAAACTTATTTTCAGTGATCAACGTTGCCAGCAGCTCGGCGATCGCGGTCTCTCCTTCCGCTGAGGAACAGTGGCACGCCGTGCTCCGATTTCGAATCGCGCTCTAAAAGAGGTGCTTACATTCGCGTGCATACTCTTTTTTTTTTTTACCGTTCTGACTGGACAACTGGGGGGGGGGGGGTGCTTAGAGTCGCATAAATACATAGTGAAATAGCACCATCTAGACCAGGGGTGGCCAGGCTGACCCGGCCTAAGAGCCGCAAACGAAACCGCGAAACTTGTAAGAGCTGCGGGGGGGGGGGGGGGGGGCAAATTTAAATTTTGTTTAGAGTCTGACCGTACGTATGAGTGCACAAGGCTGTACAACAGTACGTATGGGGTACAAGGCTGCCAAACCGCGAGCCATACTTTATTCTGTCTGATATCCCTTCTTTTTTTCCTGGGGAAATGCGGAAAGGGGCGGGGGGGGGGGGGAGGTTTACGGGCTTGTTTATCTCGATGAACAAGCCCGTAAAGCTACGTTGCATACAAAAACCAAGCAGCACAAGCAGACGGCCGTCGTGAAAGGACGTCTTTTCGAAGTTTTTTGGCGTGGCAACCATATCTGGTTGATTTTGCCAAGTTCACAAGTAGCTGGTAACGGGTTTGAATATATGGTAGTTACGCGTCCGTACCCAAGTTCCTCCACTCTCGAGAATGCGTCTGCTCCGCGACGTCGGCTTTATGCGGGAGCAGAGGGAGCAATGCTTGCTCCTGTTTGGGCGTAAGCGATATAATCGTGCTCAGTTTTCTCGCTTGACGTTCACATTCTGCAACACTCATGACATTCTCGACAAATGCTCTGCTCCTCCTCTTGCACAAGGTTGAGCTTTTTTTTTTTCTTTTAACCTGGAGGGATTGCAACATGGCACGACTGCAAAACTTGTGGTGCCAGATCCGTGCCTTCCTCGAGGGGGTGTCTTTCTCTCTTTAATGAATGCGACTCCCGTCAAGCAAAAGCAAATGTTGTTCAAGAGGAAGGAACGCAGCAACCGAACAAGGTGCAGTAGTCTTTTGTTTTATCCCTCTGATAGCCTACTTTTGTTTTGTCATGCCCTTGTTGACACTTGAATCTGGGCTGTCGTGGAGCTGAGTAGAATTTGCGTTGTTTGTCTCTCGGTGATTCAAAGTGACCTTATAAAAATTTTCCTTTACTACCTCGAAACTGGGCACAGTCCCAGGAATTCTGTGTGGTATGTTGAATTAATACAAAGATATTTTCTTGCATATCCATGTATCGTGGAAGTTCTCTCATTTCGCACCATCTTCATTGCATTCTATACGTCAGTAAACATATATTTAGTCATGCCACGCTATCGCCTGTATCAGTGTCAAAATGCCGTATGATTCGCCAACACGAAAACTGTGTATTTGTAGTGCATTTCCCTCGTTGACTAAATGATGATGTGCAGAGTATGTGCATTGTGGCGGCGCAAGTCAAAGCATCAAAACGAGACAAAATGTTGGGCAGCGAAGTGCTTTGCTGTGACCGTGAACTGCAAATTACCGAGAGTCGACTGCATTACGTGATCTGCAGTCTAAATATTTTCTTCACT